AGGAATCCTCATTTACAGAACAGGAAGAGTTGTTTTATTTTTCCCTTTTTTTAAAAAAAAATTAATTAAAAAAATTTTTTTAGGTAAATCTTTAAGTAAGCAAGGACTTCTGGCATTTGCTAACTGGAAAATAATAAAGAAATTTATTCCTGTATATAATTATGACATAAATGTATACATAGAAATGGCTTAGGAAATAGTACACATTTTTAAAAAAATCTTTCAAGTCCACGTTTTTCTGGACAATTACCAATACATGTTAAGTGTAGCTATTTTGAATTTAAATTAAGATATTTGCTTTTTAACCCAGCTGTCAAGGGTGTAAATCAGGAAATAGCAATAACTGAAGATTTTTCTTGAATGTACGTGAACTGTTTTTCTGGTAATGTGGTATGTTCAGAGAGGCATTCACATGGAGTTTCTCAGGCTACTCCACTTCAAGTAAGGTACCAACTTGTGAATTCTCAAAGCAGTTAAGTGTAGTATTCAAATGCTTTTGTCTTTTACAAAGTTGATAGCTTTTATATGTTACTTAGTATTTTAGGTGTTAAAAAATGCATTGTAATCAGTGGTTGCCGAGAGTTAGGGTTATAATTATAACGGGAAGTGCAAGAGAGTTTCATTGTGGTGATGGAACAATTTTGTATCTTGATGGTGATGTAGGTTACATGAATTTATACAGTCTTTAGTGTACATCCAAAAAAAAGTCTGTATAAAAACTGGTAAAATCTGAATAAGGTCTGTTGTGTGGTTTAGTTGATAGTATTATACTAAATGTCAATTTACTGTTTTTGATAATGTCCTATGGTTATTTATGTGAGATGTTTTTCTTTTGGGGAAAGTGTACATGGGAACATTGTATTAGTTTTGCAACTTCTTGTGAAATCTAAAATTATTTTAAAGTTTAAAAAAAATGCTATTTATACTTCTATTCAGTATACTAACCGATTAAAAAAATACTTTCATGTTTCTTAGAGCCAGGTGTGCAACTTTAGTTTTTAACAGAGTTCTTGAGGACCAAATGCTATTTACTTTTATTCAGTCATTTAGTAACTGTTCATTAACTGTCTACAGTAGGAGGCATTACAGTGTCTTAAGAAAATGGGCTTTGGAATTGGCTCTGGTTCAAATCCAGGCTCTGCTACTTTTAGCTGTGTGAACTTGGGGAAGTTACTAAATCTCTCTGAGCTTCAGTTTCTCCATCTATAATGGGCATAATGATAATGATACACACTTATTGAGCCCTATAATATGTGATGAGTTATTGTTTGCACCTTATATAATTTAACTCATTTAATCCTTATAACAATCCTATGAGAAAGGTGCCATTTTAACATTTTCAAACGAGGAAACTTAGGCACAGAGAAGCTAAGTTACTTGTACAAGGTCACTCAATTGGGAAATGCTGGAACCTAGATTAAAACTCAGCTGGATTTTCTGTTTTTGCTATACAGAACTAGCTTGTTGATGGCCAACTGTCCCACCAAGAACAACTAAAAAGAAAAATAAAATTTATCTAATTAAAAAATTTGTTTGAAGGTTTTTGAGACCTACCAGGGGAGCCAGGACATGATAGGCCACCATCCTGAAGTCACGGGAAGCCTAGAGAAGTTGCCTGGTGTTCAGTGTGACCCTTCCCCTTAGGGCACTTGCTGATTTGTAAGTTGTGGCTGAGAGACTGAGAAGATGAGCAGAAAGTGGTCCCAGAAAGTTGGGGAGCTGAGCAGACCTGTCAGTCTTATAGACCTTGTAGACAAAACTTTGGGTTCAGGCGCCAACAAGAAGGAGGAAGCCTGGTAGATACTGGAGTCCTGGTTGTGGGAGGAGTGAACCAGAAATGGACAAGGCCTCCCAAAGATTGAAGCTTAGCTTGTAATCAGCTCAGTTTGTTATTGGTTTAAGGTAATCTGCCCCTACTCTTAACTGCCTGCCAGAAGCCGAAGTGAATGCTTTCTGGAGAAATATAAAATCATTCTCAGCCTCAAATTATTTACTTAATTTTCCACAAACGAAGTCTGGCACTTAGTCAAAAATCATTAGGCATATCAGGCAACCAGACCAAATTATTCAAAACAGAGAGGTATAGGTGGTGGAGTTATCAGATTTGCTTTTTAAATAACTAAGATTAATATATTCAGAAATTTATTTAACAAGATGAAGAACTTCAGCAGAGAATTAGAAACTATAAAAAGGAATCAGATGTATATTTTCAAACTGAAAACTGAGATTAAGAATTCAGTAGATGACTTTATCAAGCAAAAGAGAGATTATAAAAAAGGGTTAGACATTTTTTGAGAACCAAAGTGTAGAGAATTTCTCATTAGCGGACCTGCACTTAAGGAAATCCAAAGTGAGTTCTTTAGGCAGAAGGAAAATGATCCCAAATGGAAGCACAGAAAGGGTATAGAAAGGACAGAAAGGGTAAATTTGTGGGTATATCTAAATGAATGTCTTATAGAGTTTAAACTATATGGAGAATTAAAGAATACTTAATGGTAGCACAAAGATGGGGCAAGAATAAATGATGTTAACGTTCTGTGGTTCTTTTATTGTCTTGGTGATGTGTAAAGTACTAATTTAATTCCTACATTGAACATTGTAATCTCTAGGGCAACTACTATAAGAATAGTAACATAATGTATAAATAAGTTACCACAGGGGAAATGAAATAATGAAACATTTAACACTAAAGCAGGCAAAAAAGGAGAGAAAAAGGAACAGAAGAGGACAGGTGGTTCAAATAGGAAACAGTACAACGGTAGATTTAAATCCAAATAGTTAATTAACTATGTTAGATATAAGACGTATACTGATAAAAAATATAGTCAGATATGGTTTTGTTCTAAAAGAGCCCTGGCGGTCCAGTGGTTAAGACTTCGCCTTCCAATGCCGAGAGTGTGGGTTCGCTCCCTGGTCAGGGAGCTAAGATCCCACATGCCTGGCAGCCAAAAAACCAAAACATAAAACAGAAGCAATATTGTAACAAATTCAATAAAGACTTAAAAAAAAAAGGTTCACATCAGAAAAAGAATCTTTAAAAGAGCCAGTTATTTACAGCTTGTAAGAGTTGTAGCTTGAAGTTTAGGATACAGAAAAGTTGAGGGAATTCCCTGGCGGTCCAGTGGTTAGGGCTCTGCTCTTTCACTGCCGTGGCTTGGGTTGGATCCCTGGTTGGGGAACTAAGATCCTGCAAGCCGCGCAGCATGGCCAAAAAACAAACAAACAAAAAAGAAATGTTGAACGTAGAGGTGGAAAAAGGGTATACTGTGCAAACTTAACTAAACCAGCCCTGGTACTTGTGCCATGCTGTACCTAGCTCATAATTTGGTTGCTAGATTTAAATCAGATAATCTTAGAGTTTTCAAAAGCAATGTCCTCTGTATGTGTTAGGTACCCAGTACATTTAACTATTACGTCTGAGTCATCTTGTTTCTTTTCTTTAAACATAATTTTTTTTCTTTTTTTTAATTAAAGAAAATTTTCAACTGAAGTATAGTTGATTTATAATGTTGTTAGTTTCAAGTGTACAGCAAAGTGAGTCAGTTATATATATACTTTTTCAGATCCTTTTCCATTATAGGTTATTGTAAGATATTGAATCTAGTTCTCTGTGCTATACAGTAGGTCTTTATTGTTTATTTTATGTATAGTAGTGTGTATCTGTTAATCCCAAACTCCTTGTTTATCCACCCCGCTTCCCCTACCTTGTTTCTTAAAATAGTATTCTTTTTTCATTTTGAGTCGATAGACCAAGGACAATGTCTCTTGTACCACTGTATGCATCTGACTCATGGGTTGCTTGATTTTTCAGTAGCTTCCATATATACACATTTTATCCCTTTTCTTAAGTTTTATGTTTTCATTTAACGCACCATCACAGCTGTTATCTCTTATCTTTATTTAAAATCTACTCTGTGGTGCCTCTGCCTACTGATAATGTGTGAATTATTTTATGCTGAAGTAATCTACTTTGAGTATTATCTGTAGAGTTTCCAAACTAAGGACATTCTTCCTTTTTTCCCCTGTACTTTTATGAAAATGTTCAAATTCTTCAGAATTATTCTTTTATAAATTATCATCCATATAATGAATATAGATTTCCTCAGTCATGTCACCTGTCTTTTGGCATGAGGGCTTTTTGAAGAATAGGTAGTGGTGTAATTATTTATAAAATAATACCATAGAACTAATTAGAGAATCTTGTCTGGATCGTTGCTTTGTATGACAGTCTGTTGTACATTGGTTAAACATCAATTGGAGACATCTTAAAAGGCTTTTGTTCTGTTCTGCTTTTGATGTTTCATTTAGCTTTTTGGGAAGTCACATTGCTTTTTGTTGGACTGAAGGAAAGGATTAAAAATGATTAAAATGATTATATTGAGTCAGATCTGAATTAGATCTGAATCCAAAATTAGTTTCCCTAGACAACCAAAATAGTGGTAATTTTGGATTGAATTTGGCCTTTTCCCCATAGGTTAGTGGGTACATTTGTATCTGTGGAATATTATAAGCCTTTCAGAATTGGCTAGACTTAATTAATGAGGGCTTTTCTTTGGGGTTTCTTTCTCTTTTAGGACATGTGAAAATGAAATTTGCCATAGTTAATTTGGTGGATAGCAGTAAAACCAAATATCTGTGTCCTTTCTTTCTGAATATGAGGCTTAATACTGAAAGTTTTAAAATAACCTTTTTCTTATAAATTTTAACTGATGTTAACAAAACTGTGTGAGTTCTTGCAATTTAAGTAATAGTTTCTTCATAGCAAGTCATCTGACCTGGACTATCAAGGAAGTTAACTACTAGAGATGGTAGAACTCATTAATTTTGGTTTCACTCCTGTATTTATTACTATTCATTTCTCTTTGAACAGGTTGTTCCTTTCAACAGCTTTTGATGAAATTCAGGAACATACTTTTTTACTTGAGCAATTGTCATGAGTAAAAATGAAGTAGGAAAATAAAATCGCAGATTAATGAGAGCCATGTTGTATTGTTCACTAGGCAGTGAAATCAGCTGTGCAGACCATCACTGTTGGAGGAGTGAGCACATCACAATTTAAGACAATTATTCCTCTGGCAACTGCTCCCAATGTCCAGCAGATTCAAGTGCCTGGAAGCAAGTTTCATTATGTCCGACTTGTTACTGCCACAACAGCCAGTAGCTCAACCCAGCCAGTTAGTCAGAATCCCAGTACAAACACTCAGCCTCTTCAGCAAGGTTAGTAACCATTTTTTTAAAAACAATAATTAATGCTTTGAACATTATTAGAGAAATTGGTCCTTTTCTTGCTGAAATCCTGATTAAGTATGGCATTTCAGCTGAGTATGAATCAGCAGCTGTTGCAGAAGGCAGTGAAATAGAATCCCAGTTGTATATAACTATAGTATTTTGTTCTTCTAGAAACTGATACACAGTGTGCTGTCATACTGGATAATCATACTTAGTCATCAATTTGTGGGTAGCCATTTTACTGCTGGTTTAAAAGCCTACATTATGCCAGTGGGATAGTTTAAATGGAACCAAATGATTTATCTTATTTTCTAAACTACAAAGCCATCTAAACTACACAGGGTTTGGGGGTCAGTTGAAATGACCAGTAGGCAAGGTATGAATGATAAGTATGAACTTTCATCCTTTACTTATTTTGAATCTGTAATTGCTAATGAAAATCAGTTAAAATGTTGTTATTTTACTCATTGGTATTTTTCCTGAAAAGTATTCCTGTTTGTAGTCCTACTTTGTTTGTGTTTAATCCTTCCAGCCACCTGATATACATACACAGACTCAAACACATAACCTTTCTCCATATTTATCTACTTGTTAAAAAATTTAAACTGTGAAAGGATGAGGACAGTTTATATTTGGGGCCTAATTCTTTTCCTTGGAAGACTACCGCATATTCTTTCAGTGTCAAAATGACATGACAAGTGAATGATCTATTGTTTGCTGGATGTAAATAGATGAATTAAAGACCATGTGTTTGCGCCTTCAGTTTTATTAAGGGATCAGAGGGTTGGAGCTGTCCATTGCTGATAGCTAGTTCATCTAAGAGAAAGTGGAAGAAAAATCTTGGATTTTAAATTACTGATGGGAGAAAATGGAGGGTGCATGAGGGAAACAGTATTTTAGTGTGTATTCTATTAAAATTAGACATAATTATATAAAATAGTAATTATATTTTCTATTCCCTCTTTAAACTGATTTTGAAAGGAAATCTTTTATTACAGTGTTCTTAATGAGAGGAAAAATGAAATTTGCATGTACTGCTGACTAAGGAAGTCAAGTGTATATTCTCTCAGTACTTAGCAAGTGCTACTAAGTGCTACAAGTCCAATTTTCTTATATATCATAATGATATAAAGGAGTCATTAGATATAGTTGGTTATATTCTATGTTTGTGTGTATACACGTATGCTGAGTATCCATTTCCAGCATAACGTTAGCACTGATTTACTCGTTACCAAGCATAAGCGTTTGGTATGAGTGGGAGAGGAAGCTGAAGACCCAGGAAGAGTGGAGGAGCGGGTTGGACAATTCATAATTCTAATGTCTTTACCATTTCCTTCTTTTCCAACCTTATGTCTGTCTTTCTGCTCCTCTCTGCTTCGCTGTTCTCTTTGCCTGCTAGCAATCCCTCACCCCCTTCCTGCTTCCCTGCTGCTTGCTTTCCTTCAGTTTCCCTCTCTGTTCTCCCCTCTGGCTTCTCCACCTCTCTCTGTATATTCCCTCTTCCCACCTGCTCACATACATATACCACCCATGCTATTTCCCTCATATCTACCCATATTTCCCTATTTTTGTCTTGCTCTCCTATCCCATAAAAGATCTGGGTATATGTAAAATATATTATTTCATAGGAATAACGAGTTAAATTTACAATTTTCATTAGAGATACACTGAATAGTTGCTGTAGTTCATAAAATGTATTGATGTGTTTTTCTAAAGGCTTAATTCCCTGTGAGGGATTTACTTAAATGCCAAAGGGAATTGGGCTCCTCTTGTACATTTTCCCATCAAAGCCATACAAACACCAGTATTCAGACGTTCCACCATATTAATTGCTGGCTGGATGGCAGGTAGCACAGTAAAAGGACCCAGAAGATTGCTTGGTTAATCTCTTTAGAATATAATCTACAATCTTGGTTAGGGAGGAAATCAACTTAAGAAACTAAAAACCCTCAAACACTTGCAGGTATGGTTTCTAAAGTTTCAAAGGAGACTGTTCTGAAAGGATTGTTCAGAATTGCTATTAAAGACCAAAAAAATGAAAGATTATGCCAGCATCTATGAAAACGGCAGTAGTGGTAATGTGGGACCATGCTCAAAAGTTAAGGAGGAAGCAACTGTGCCCCAGTTTAAAAAAAAAAAAAAGGTCGAGGAGGAGAAATCCAGACTATTGACGTAGCTATATAAGTATGACCCCCTTCCCATGTATATTTTATACTGTTCTTTTTCTTGACCACTACATTTTCTGTTTTCTGCATTCCCCAGATTTCAGTTAAAACGCAGCATGCGTATGTCAAGCTAATGTAAACCCAGAATTCCCCAGTTTTCTAGCTCTGTGTGCGTGCGTGGGGACACTTCCCTGTCCTATCCTTATGAGAATCATCCAAGTCTCCCATGAGATGTGAATAAGGGCAGGACACACACTCCTTCCCCGTCATTTCACAGACCACCAGGAAGTTCCTACATTTCTCTAGCTGTGCAGTTACCTCAGAATTGCTGCTTGTGTGCTCATGAACCAGTGACTGTCATCGCCTTGTCAAGGAACAAAGTGGTGTAGGGTGTCCTCTCTTCAGTGTCCCAAGCACGAATTCAGGCTTTTAATTCCTTTTAATTTGCCTTTTAATTCCTTATAGTATTGCTACAGTGGTTATTATAATCAAAACAGAACAGGAAACAATTTCAAATCAGGTATCAGATGGCATGGCACTGCTCCTGTAATTCATGGTCATACACTCTTTTTGTATAGCAACTTTATTGAGATACAGTTCTCATCTACCATAAAATTCACCCTTGTTAAATACAGTACAGTTTTTAGTATATTCAGAGATATGCGATCACCACCACTGATCATACGCTCCTTCTGGAGGTCTCCCACCTTCCCACCTACCCCCTTCTCCCTAGTTTGTCACCTTGCTGCCAGGGCCTGCTCCCTTTTAGATCTGAGTACCCTCTCTCTAGTGTTCTTCCAGGGCTGTCAACTTCTCGTCTTCAGCCATCAACCCTTCCATCCCTACCAAAAGTAAAAAAAAAAAATTGTTAACATTGTTAACAGCCTTTCTATCCAAGGAAGTCTGTTCTTTTTCTTTTATTGTTCAGAACAGTTTGTTTGATTCAGTGTTCACAGCAGTTTAGATCCCGTTATCTCAACCTCTCATAGCAGGCTCTAGGCCTTTTGCCTAAATAAGACCCGAAGGGATGTCCTTTCAGTCTTCTTAAATCCCTCCTTTAGACTGAGGAAGTGGCAGTAGGCAGTATTAGAAATGGTACTTCTTTTGATCCAAACATACAGGTCTAGAACCACCCTGTTTCCTGAACTTCATCACTGTATTTCTGCATGTCAGGTTTCATCTTCCCTTTAGATCAGCTCATCCTTGAATTTTTAATTCTAATAGCTGTCATTTTCCCATTCACTTGAAAGCTCCATGATAACCGATTTTTTTTCTCTTGTACCTACGGTTCCTGCCATCCTTTCACCTCCACCCTGTCTCTTGGAGCTGTTCTCTCCTTTCCATTCCCAGTGCCATCACCGCAGATTAGACTCTCATGTTTTGTACTCTTCTAACTTTCTTTGTTTCTTGCAGCTCTGTTCTGTTTTACATACTGCTGCCGCGTAGTTTCTTTTTGTGTCATTCCAATGATGTTTCCGAACATCACAATCCTCAGAAACTTCTCATTGCCTGCTGAATTAATAATACAGATTAAATATACAGATCTCTACCCTTACATTCAAGGCCTTCAACAAAACAGCCACAGTCTGCCTTTTTTTTTTTTGCCAGTGCTTGCCTACTTTAACCCTAGGTTCCAGCCAAACCGGTCTGTCCCGTAGCACTTTGTGAAGTGCCCAGCATCAAGCCTCCACTTCTCTTGCTCTGCCGCTGTGTGAACTGCCCTGCTCCAGTCTGTATGCCCGCTCTGCAGCCTGACCATTGGTCAGGACTGTCTCAGACACTGTCCTCTATGCAGCTTTCCCCGTTCCCAGCCCCTGCCAGTCAGATGTATGTTCTGTCTCCTTTGCTCTCCCACAGTGCTTTCTCTTTTTTTTTTTAATAATGTTTATTTTATTTGGGTACTCGTCTAATCTGCTCTACTTGAATGTAATCTCTTTGAGCAGGTGTCTTGTACTATAGTTTCCCTGGAACACTGTCTACAGTGACATTTATGTAGCAGTAATGGTTGTAATAACAACAAGAACAATAACAGTAATGGGAACTAACGTTTATTGAGCACTTACTATCTGTTGAGCACTGCTGTAGTAAATTTTCATGAATTAACATATTTATTTCTCTTACCCTGTAAGGGAGATACTATCCCTATATTGCAGATGGGGATACAGGCAAAGAGAATTAAAGTAGTTAGAAAGCAGCAGAATTGGGATTTGAACCCCCAGGGTCTTATGATTTAGGAGACTACATTCTTTTTTTTTTAATTTACTTTTTATTGAAGTATAGTTGAGTTAAGGAGACTATATTCTTAACCTTGCTGCTCTGCTGCCTTTTAGTAGTACTCTGTAAATAATGAATTGTACACAGAATTAGAAATAGTATAGAACAGCATTGTTACCCAAGTTCCTGAATGGCAGTTTTTAATTTATGCATCATTTCATCTCACTGGATTTAGTAGTGAATATATAAAGCATCTGAATACAGATTGAAGTATTTTCAGTAGAATATCTTAAACGACAGACATTCTCTCATAAAGTGGATAGACTATAGCTACCTTAGATATAAGTTCCCTAGTTAGATGGGTTAAAGAATTTTGAAAGTAACTGTCTTGATTAAAGATTCCTCCAAATAGGAAACCAGTGGAATTCTTTAAGCTCTCTCATGAGGATATCGTGAGCGAACTAAGTATCTTACATGTTTTAAATACTACTTTCTGTAAACAAACTGTCCTTTTCCTCCCTCCTTTTTACAAAGCAAAGCCAGTGGTCGTTAATACCACCCCAGTGCGGATGTCAGTGCCACTTGTCTCAGCGCAGACTGTCAAACAAGTGAGTATCACATCACTTCTTCTCTCAGTCTCTCCCAAACAGACAATTTACTTTTAAAATTGAAAGTTAAGGGCTTCCCTGGTGGCGCAGTGGTTGAGAGTCCACCTGCCGATGCAGGGGACACGGGTTCATGCCCCGGTCCGGGAAGATCCCACATGCCGCGGAGCGGCTGGGCCCGTGAGCCATGGCCGCTGAGCCAGCGCGTCCGGAGCCTGTGCTCCGCAACGGGAGAGGCCACAACAGTGAGAGGCCCGTGTAAAAAAAAAAAAAAAAAAAGTTTACGTTTAAGAGATTTTTTTATTTATTTATTTTTATTGAAGTATAGTTGATGGACAATATTATATAAGTTACAGGTGTACAATATAGTGATTCACAATTTTTAAAGTTTATACTCCATTTATAACTACTGTAAAATATTGGTTATATTCCCTGTGTTGCACAGTATATCTTTGTAGCTTATTTATACATAATAGTTTGGACCTCTTAATCCCCTAAGTTTAAGAGATTTATACTGAATTGAGAAACTGTGAAATTTATTTTCGTGGTCATTGACATACTTCCTTTCTTTTTAGGTTGTTCCGAAACCGATCAATCCAACTTCCCAAATAGTCACCACCAGCCAGCCACAGCAGCGGCTTATCATGCCTGCCACCCCACTGCCACAAATCCAGCCAAACCTCACGAACCTGCCACCAGGCACTGTGCTGGCACCGGCTCCAGGAACAGGGAATGTAGGCTATGCGGTGCTTCCTGCTCAGTATGTGACTCAGGTATGGGCAAAAAATTAAGTCATCGCATTTCAAAAAGTTTAATTGGGTCTAAGATGTCTAGCATTATCACATTCTAAAACTACTCAGAAACATCTAACTCAGTGTTTAGACTGTTTCCAAAACCTTGAATTGTTAATGAAAACTTCTGAGTTTATTTTTATGTATCTTTAATATTTAGAAATATACAGCACAAGTCAAGTATACAAGTCAGGCAATTTGGAGCTGAGAACAGTTTGGTAGGAGGGCAAGATCGTGTAGATATAAGAGAAAATACATTGAGTTGAAATCAGCAGAGTCCCAGGCTTCCCTGGTGGCGCAGTGGTTGAGAGTCCGCCTGCCGATGCAGGGGACGCGGGTTCGTGCCCCGGTCTGGGAAGATCCCACATGCCGTGGAGCGGCTGGGCCCATGAGCCATGGCCACTGAGCCTGCGCGTCCGGAGCCTGTTCTCCACAACGGGAGAGGCCATAACAGTGAGAGGCCCGCGTACCGAAAAAAAAAAATCAGCAGTGTCCCAATGAGTTTAGAAAGCACTGTGACTGTAATGAAGTTCCTCCTCACATTATGAATACGATGCCGCTCACCTGTTCTTGGAAAATAGACTGTGAGATGCACTTCCAGGTGACATATCGGTAATGATCTGTCCAGATCTGGTCATCTTTAGATGACATCTGGTTATCTTTGGAATCAGAGCCACATATTATCCAATTGGCTGGCTTGGGTTAGGAGTGCTGCTTTCTAGGAAGAAGATAGAAGTTGTTTTCTTTTTCATGTAAGAATCAAGCAGATTAATTAGCACCATATTCTAAGCTGTTGAGTTGATCTACTCAAGATTATAAGAGAGACAGAAACCTGTGTACTTTAAAGAAGTGTACTTTGGAGTATGTTATGTGGCTACTGATTGAAAAAATTAGTGTTCAGTATTTTTATCATTAGCATCTCTTTTCTTATGTTTAGAAATCAGTGTAAAACAGGAACTTAATTATTACGTATGTAACTTCTCATTCTCTGTAACTTATGATAAATGATCACATTTTATTTATTTTATTTACAAGTAGACACATTGCATTTTTCTAGCCAATACAAGTTTTACTACAGTACTATCAGGACATTCATCTGGAATTTCCTAATTCTGATATCCTTATTCCTCTGTGAAAGAATTTCTTATATTTATACCATGTAGTACTTTAAAATGTCCACATTGTTTTTACCTCTGGTATTAGTTTTGGGTCTTTAGAAGAGCTCTATGAGGTAGTGAGTATGTTTGTATGAAATTCTCCGTTCTGTTTTTCCTATTTTAATAGATGAATTTGTGCTTCTTACCGATCATCATATTTAGGAGTATTGTCCATTTTTGTAAATATGGTCTGAAATTACCTTTCTTTATATGTAGCTACAGCAGTCTTCCTATGTGTCTATAGCAAGCAACTCTAACTTTACCGGAACACCTGGTATCCAGACCCAAGCAAGGCTTCCGTTCAATGGGTGAGTGAGTTATTTGAATATATGTAAGTTAAGTTGTTGGATCAGGTTAAATGCAACATCAAATATACATATATATTTCAAAATACATGTATTTAATTTTTTCCCCCTCAAAGCCATGTGAGTGTGCCTCTGCAGTACTTTTTATTTTGAAATACTTTAAACAGAAAAGTTGCAGGAATAGTCAGAGAACTCCCAAATTATCTTTTACTCCGATTCACCAGTTCTGGCACAGGTGATTTGTTATTTTCTCTCTCTTTTCTCTTTTTCTCTGTCTCCTCCTGAATGTGTTTTTAAAATGATATTAACTAGTTTTAAAATTGTTATTTAGGTCTTTGCTTTTTCTTTTATTTGTTTTTTAATCTGTCAATTGCTGCCTTTGCAGTATTGGTTGAGAAGCAGTGCTTTAGTTAATTACGTGGAACCAGTCTACCTCTCCTCTCCGCTCCTAAATTCCAACTTCACACACCCTTTTCTACTTACTACCTTTCATAATTGAATCCCAAAGAGTTTAGGAGGTTTCAACTTTAGTTCTCTTAGAAGAAAGAGTATATTTTGTGGAATGTTCTTCAGAAACTATTGATAACTTCCTTTTCTTTTTTTTTAATCCATATCTTGGCTCTCTACCTTTCTTTTCATGGTACAACTTGCTTTTCAACTTAATGTAAATGGAACAACATAACAAACTTTTATTAGAGTTGGGTACATTTGTTAAAGCTTTATTTTAGGAGGAATTTACAGATTAGAGACTTTTCTCAGTTTAAATAGTTACCTTTAATTGATTAAAATGTATATCTTTTTGTTTGTGTCTGTGTAGCATAATGCCATCAGAGTCTGCCAGTCGGCCCAGAAAGCCTTGTAATTGTACAAAATCGCTGTGTTTGAAATTGTAAGTCCTTTTGCTGCTGTTTCCTCATTTGATATAACTGAAAATGCTTTAAAAAATAAGTGGAGTTGGGCTTCCCTGGTGGCACAGTGGTTGAGAGTCCGCCTGCCGATGCAGGGGACACGGGTTCATGCCCCGGTCCGGGAAGATCCCACATGCCGCGGAGCGACTGGGCCCGTGAGCCATGGCCACTGAGCCTGCGCATCTGGAGCCTGTGCTCCGCAACGGGAGAGGCCACAACAGTGAGAGGTTCGCGTACCGCAAAAAAAATAAAAATAAAAAGTAAGCAGAGTTAACTAAAAATTCTTAACAGACCAATTTCATAAGTCTAAGTAATTAAACATACAAGTGAATGAACACATATGACGGTGTAAAAAGACTCATTCATTCAGAAGGAAATAATTTTAGAGTCTTTACCACAGATGAGGCACTGGAGTAGGGCTTAGGGATCCAGCTGCATGAGACAGACATGATCTCTGTCCTTACTAATAAATCTGATCTTATTTATGACCTTTATATTTGGTCTCTTAAATGAGATGAGACTCTGAGTAGTTTTTTTTAACTTGTTGATGAATTTGCTTGTTAGTACTGAAGAGATTTGACATGAAACAGTTAAATAAAAAGCAGTGGTCTTATGGGGGTTTAGAATCCAAAGAAACATGACAGTAGTTCACGTGAGCAGGTTCCACTAATATAATAGAATATAGCTCATGTTTTTCCTTTTTGTGATTTTGAAATAACTTACTTTTGGGGTGCGTAAAAATCACATAGCTCTTGTGTTGACAGCTGTTACTACTGGAACTAAGTTTCTAAACCAAAATTCTAGGAGCTGGTGACTTTACTTTTGAGCCTTGTCAGTACCTGTTGTTAACTCTATAAGTCGGTGGCTCTGAATACATTTCTAAAATGCTTTACTGCATATATAATGCTATTAAATAAGATAATTTCTAGTTTTGTTTCTCTTAAAAATGACTTTTTTATATGACTTACAATGATTTTTATATTCCAGATACTGTGATTGCTTTGCAAATGGTGAATTTTGCAACAACTGCAATTGTACTAATTGTTATAATAACTTGGAACATGAAAATGAAAGGCAAAAAGCAATAAAGGTGATTATTTCTTGTTTCATTTAACTGACAAAAGTTTACAACTTCACCTGTTTTTTTGTTGAGCTCAAGTATTTTATGAAGAAAATTAATTCCCTTTGCAGAATTTAAGTTTAATTTACTGCGATTTAACATCACTTGATATTTGATCTGTTTTGATAGGCATGCCTTGACAGAAATCCGGAAGCTTTTAAGCCCAAGATAGGGAAAGGAAAGGAGGGAGAATCAGATCGACGTCACAGCAAAGGATGTAATTGCAAACGATCAGGATGTCTTAAAAACTACTGTGAATGCTATGAGGTGAGTTGAGGTTGGGAAAAATAATCTAACCATCTTTTGAAAATAACTTTAGAAAGTGCATACAAAAAAAATTTACTTGTAAACTGGGAAATTACTTTGCAATTGCAGTTTGAATATATTGCAGTTTGAAAAGTCAGCCCAAGAGCCCTAATTTGAGGAAGACCTACCTTCTCGCCTCCCAAGCAGGGCTTCAGAGGAACAGTACCTTTGTTTTGTCATTACAGCTTGGGGTCTCATTAGCAGAGTTACCAGCTCATAACTTCGTGGTCATTGTACCTGAAAGTATGCAAACCACAGCACCAGTTTGTTGATTTTCAATAACAATAACATCAAAGTGGACTGGACACTCTGTAGTAGTGGTTCTCCACTGAGGGGTATTACTACCCAGTTTCTCCCCTACAGACTTTTTGGAAATATATATGGATAATAGCCTGCATTTCAGGGTGCAGTCCTGAGAGGATAGTCTTATCTTGTTCCAAATGCTAGTACCCTGTTGAAGAGCACTGCTCTGTGGAAAATTAAATTATGTTAGAAGGTTTGCCTTGTGAGCATAAAAATAGGTAAGGAGGAATATGTAATTGCAGGATGAGGTTATTGGCTATTGTGAGGTGACTGCATCCATTTTACCATCTAATCATCCCACTCAACTGGCTGTTTTTATTTATGGGTCAGGCAGCATCTTTTCTGGAAAATGTATATTGAAACTCTGCTTTGATAGATGCCGTGTAAATGATCCACTTGTTTCAGACAAAGTACTATATAGTTTGTTATTTTTATTTTCAAAGCTTAAATAAAGCAATCTAGTCATACCCAAGATTAATCCAAGGTTACTACAATTGGTTTCTTGGTGCGCCCGAAACTCTTTACTGATAATCTTTTGGGTTGAGTCATTCCTACGGCAGTTGGCTCTTCTCATCTGTTATATTTTCATTCGTTCAGATTTCATATGCAGAGCGAAACCTTATTTTAGTTTTGGCCAAAGGCCTGGCCTGGTAAAGTAATACCAGCAAGCACTGCACTCTCCCTTGGCCAGGTGTGCTCTGCTCTAGGAGCGTGTACCTGCAACCCAGTGCCCCACCCCCATACCAGGTGTGTCGTAGTAAAGATTTTGTGTACTGTATTCTCTCTGTAGTGAATTCTTAATTTACATATTTCAGAGGTCAAATACTCCTCTCAAGAAGTACAGTAAAGTAACATTTTGTTAGTCCTAAAGTCAGTAGGAGTGAAAATTGCACATAATCAAGATTATTTTTGAAAGTCTCTTAACAGTGTCGCAGAGTACAACAAGCCAGTTTTTCATTCACATTGGGAAAGACTGACTCTTGTTTGCACACCTGATGAGATAGGTGGCTTCTGTTTACAGACCATATCATACAAAAATTGTCATGAATATGTAAGCTGTAAAACCAATTCCACACACAAAAAAGAGAAAATGGGAACTGTTATAAAGCTGGGTCAGAAGGGCAGAGAAAGCCTTTCTTGCGTGTGGCATTGAACAGTCAATACATGCTAAGCATATGAAATTCAGACAGACATGAACTAAATAATTGAACTGGTTGACAGTTCTGTGAACTGATAGAAGTAGAAAAGGCAGTGGACTGGTTGAAATATGTTAGAAGAGAGAAAGCTGCTCTATCTATTTTGATAAAATCCTTGACATGCAGGACATAAACAATGTCTAATAACTAATATGTTGTTCTACAAGACCAAGCAATGGAAAAACTTGGAATACAGTGAACTCTGACTAGCAGTGGCCAGTTGGCTCACTGTGAATTAGTTATGATGTTGTCTGACAGTTTGTGTTGTTCATCTTTTGAACTGACTTGGCTTTTTTGGTCCAGTTGGTCTGCATCTGGATAAGACATCGATGTCCCTTTCACACGCCTTTCAGGGCTTGTTGATTGAATGAGTGACTGTCCACATTATTTAAGTGATTGTGACTTTTCTTGTGACCTTTTTTACCCCCCTCCCTCTTTTTTTTTTTTTTGGCCACAAAAGAAGTTGAATTAGCAATGCTCAATGGATGACTTGTATTTGTAATTTCTCCCTCCTGAGTTCCTATTAGACATTATTAGTACCTTTCTTATAATTCTTAAAACTTAATCCAAGTTACCATTATCAGTATGTCTTCTTCCCCCGGAGGTTAGGAATTTTATCTCTTCACCATTAGATACTTATTAAGTATTGCTTCAGTTGGATCCCAGACTGGCTCCTAGTAAATAAGCCGGTTAACTCAAAAGGTATATCCATTTTCTTTTCCTTTGGTAAATGGAATTTATTAGTGTATTGTAAAAAAGGAGCAGGGTAGGTGTGTTCATAATATGATCCATTTATCTTACTGTAGAGAGGAAGGACAGTAGGCTTGTTTATTTATTTAAATTGATGTGGGTTTGCTCAAGAAAAAGTAGCCAACAAAAGATACTAAAATTTACTAGGAGTCTGGGAAATGTAAATGAAAGAACGAGACCTCACTTTATTAAAAAGAGCTATAGTATACATTGTTGGAGGGAATGTAGGAAAGGCTTCCTTTATCCATTGCTAATGAGATGTGAGGTGTTATAGCCTTTTGAAAAAACAATCTGGCCACATCTATTAAAATTAAAATACATGTACCCTTTGAGCAGTGAGCCCAATTCTAGAAACCTAGCTCATAGAAATAAAAGTGTAATATATACAAAAAAATGTTTTTATGCATTGTTTGTGAAACTCAAGAACTGGAAACAAAACAAATGGCCATCAGTAGAGGAGTGAATGCCCAAATAAAATGTGGCACATCCATACCAGGGATTAATAGCCAGTCATTAAACAGGATGAATTCAGCCTATGCCAGATGACTTGGAGGGAGGGATTTCATGAAGTATAGTGTGAGAAAAGGAAGATGCAGAAAAGTGAGTATATGATTATGTAAAACAAACAAAAAAGAAGAAAGACTTCTGTATTGGTGAGTTAATATATGTACATAAAGCCTGTGTTTTTCATAAATATACATATAGTTTATATATCTTTACATGAAAGGACACACTGGTTTAATACGGACTGTTGAAGGGTTTGGGGACTCTGGACAGGGGATTTATTTAGGGAGGGGGAGGTATAATAAAAATAGTGTCTGTGAAATCCCTTTGATATGATACTGTGTATGTGTTTGCATAAGTGGGAGGTCACCAACATGTTAATGGTGATTTGATTGAGGTGGCTGGATTCTGGATGACCCTTATTTTTGAATATTGTATCACTCATTTTTTGATAAAAGAACATTTGTTATTCATATCAGGAGGAAAATCTATAGTGGGGGAAAATTGGCGTGGAAGGCCTCAAACAAACATAGTATAGCCACTTTCAGAGTGGCCAAGAATACTGGGCCTATGCACATGCATAGCTGGCCCCTTTGGTGTTTGTCAGCAAGAGATGTTTCCATTTTATCTATGTCAGTTGACCAGCTAACTCTGTCACCTATTGACTTGATTGTGGAGTCTACTATAGTGATGTCTTTTGGTTTTGATTTGGAAGCTTTTCTTTTGTAAATCTTTTAGGCAAAAATAATGTGTTCCTCAATATGCAAATGTATTGGCTGTAAGAATTTTGAAGAAAGCCCAGAAAGAAAGACGTTGATGCACTTGGCAGATGCAGCCGAAGTAAGGGTACAGCAACAAACAGCAGCAAAGACTAAGTTATCCTCTCAGATTTCGGACTTGCTTACTAGGCCAACACCAGCTTTGAATAGTGGAGGAGGAAAGTAAGTCAATATTTGAATATCTTTTTATAGTATGATATATTCATTTTTGGTAAAGTTTCTTTTTTTGGGCAAAATTGGGCTCATACTTTTGGTTGTTGCATACATGACTTTTGCATTTTCTATCTTTAATTACTTGTAAAGGAATTTAAAAGTAACAGAAAAATCACTGTCAGATATATTGTACAGTTCTAAAATGCACGGTAGTGTATTAGGTCACTGTGCTTAATTTAATTGGATTTCTCCCTACTAAGATGAGGGAAATTTGAATAATTTGACAAACCCTGAAGAAAACCAAAATTTTTATACCTCTTACTGGTTGCGTTGTTATTCATATTTTTTCACATTCTTACCTTCTTACCTTCCCATGCCCATGTGGCACTTTCCCCACCCTGTTGGAGAGCCTGTCACACACTGTGTTATTGTACCTCCTTATTTCCCTAGACTGCTGAGCTCTGGAGTAGGAAAGCTGGAGCTTTACAGTCAGGCCGACCTGAGTTTAAATCCTATCTGTGCTCTGTTGTAATTTGTGACTTTGCCAAGCGCTTCACCTCTCTGGGCCTTACCTCGGTTTTCTTATCCTTCACATCACCCTTTTCACGTGGCTCTGAGGAGTAAAGCACAGCTTGGCAGGGCCCATTGCACATAGCATGCTGACTTGAATTTGTATTAGAGAGTTTGTTAGAGGTTAATCTGAGGAATTATTAAATGGAATGAGCCTTGAAAATGGTATTTCATTTAAAATGCCGAAGTTGAAATAAGATCCAACTTATAAAACTTATAAAAGTAAGGCTTTTGTACAAAATATTTCAGATATTAGTTCTAAAGAACTCTTTCTTGTAACTGGAGTATAATCAGCAAAAAGTTCTTGACTGAATGAAGTGGAAATGGGCAGACACCTTAATGAGGGGTATCACAAGGGGTCCTTTCTGGTCATCTGCTTTCAGTAAACCTTAGATTATTAAGTCTAATCTCTATGAGAAGATTAAAGATATTGCTACACTAAAATATTTACAATTAATTTTTCAACTTGGGAAGATATCTGTTATTATGAAGTGTGAAAGAACACAAAATTATGCACTGTTATCAAAACTAAGTATAAAAAAACTGTATTAAAGAAGTCCTACTAGCGTTATTAACAAGCTTTTGCCTTTGAGTGGCAAAAATTTGAATTTTTTTTTTTCCATTTTCTTTCCTATAGTTTCCAAATACTATATAATGAGTGCTACTGTTATACACTATTAGTTACTTTTTCAATATTATTGTAATATTAACTTTATTGTAATATTTTAATATCATAATATTTTCTAATTTAAAATGCTTTTTATATTTTAAAGATTTCTATACAAATGTGTAGCAGCCTAAATCCTGTCACCCTATCTTGTCATAGTGGGCCTTAAGTTCAGACTTCATTCATGTTGTTGTTCTTGTTTTAAAATTATTTATTTATTTATTTGTGGCTGCGTTGGGTCTTTGTTGCTGCGCACTGGCTTTCTCCAGTTGCGGCGAGCGGGGGCTACTCTTCGTTGCGTCGCGGGCTTCTCATGGTGGTGGCTTCTCTTTGTTGCAGGGCACGGGCTCTAGGCACGCGGGCTCAGTAGTTGTGGCTCTTGGGCTTAGCTGCTCCGCGGTATGTGGGATCTTCCCGGACCAGGGATCGAACCCTTGTCCCCTGCATCGGCAGGCAGATTCTTAACCACTGCACCACTTACAGGTTGTTGAGTTACTGGTTAGATTAGGTTACCCGGTTTTGTCTCTTAGGCTTTACGACTTGGCTACATATAGCTAGCCTCGGGATGGATTCCTCTGCTTTAATACTCAATAGTTCAGATCTTTATGAATGAAATTCCATGTACAGAACAGCATCTGGTGTCCCTGTTGTTTCGTTTTGATATCATGGAATAATGCAAAATTTTGGTGCGCTTTTTTTGTTTTTTACCAACATTATATGGGACTATGGGAAAGTGCTTTATTTTCCATGTTGTCCAGGAGATAGTGCTTTCAGTTTCCCATATATTCATTCATTCAGCAAATATTCATGGGGTGTCTCTGTGTCAGGCACTGTTGTAGGCAGTGCAGAAACAACAGTCAATAAAACAAAAACTGCACTCAGAGCTTATATACATGAATCAGAGGACTTTTGTTATAGCAGTATCCAGTCAACATGTAGAGTTACGTTTCAGTTAACCAGGTAACCTTGTCTAGGTTATATATATTTTACGTAAAACGTTTTATATATATATATATATATATATATATATATATATATATACACACACACACACACACATTTTTTTTTTTTTTTGGTTCACTGTTGTGGCCTCTCCCGTTGCGGAGCACAGGCTCCAGACTCGCAGGCTCAGCAGCCATGGCTCCTGGGCCTAGCTGCTCCACGGCACGTGGAATCTTCCCGGACCAGGGCACGAACCCGTGGCCCCTCCATCGGCAAGCGGACTCTCAACCACTGTGCCACCAGGGAAGCCCAAAACGTTATATTTTAAAAATATGTTCAATAATAAAGCCAGGTCTAACTTTTCTTTTTCCTTTTTTTTTTTTTTAATAAATTTATTTATTTTTGGCTGCGTTGGGTCTTTGTTGCTGTGCGTGGGCTTTCTCTAGTTGTGGCGAGCGGGGGCTACTCTTCGTTGTGGTGCGCGGGCTTCTCATCGTGGTGGCTTCTTTTATTGCGGAGCATGAGCTCTAGGTGCGTGGGCTTCAGTAGTTGCAGCACGCAGGCTCAGTAGTTGTGGCACGTGGGTTCAGTAGTTGTGGCTCACGGGCTGTAGAGCACAGGCTCAGTAGTTGTGGCACATGGGCTTAGTTGCTCCACGGCATGTGGGATCTTCCTGGACCAGGGCTCGAACCCGTGTCCCCTGCCTTGGCAGGCGGATTCTTAACCACTGCACCACCAGGGAAGCCCAGGTCTAACTTTTTAAAAACTCTCTGGGATGTGCTTTTGTTCATCACACAAACTGTGATGTTCAGTGTGCTTGCTGAATCGTGAAAATGTCGACAGAGATTTGTAGGTGAAAGAATGTCAGCCACTCTTGCTGTTATTCAACACCATCATCATCTCTCTCTCTCTCTTTCTTAAAAATCATTTCAGATTGCCATTTACGTTTGTCACTAAGGAAGTAGCTGAAGCCACGTGTAACTGCCTTCTTGCCCAGGCGGAGCAGGCAGACAAGAAGGGGAAATCAAAGGCAGCAGCTGAACGGATGATACTTGAGGAATTCGGGCGATGTTTGATGAGCGTCATCAACTCTGCAGGAAAAGCAAAAAGTGACCCTTGTGCCATGAATTGCTAACTCTTGCACAAAAGACTGATAAATCGAACTGTACAGAAAATTGAAGGTGCAGGGACACTTGATTTTCTGGAAGATAGTTTAACAATTATTGTATTGTTAGTTCAGTCTTGTGAGACCTGAAATTATAATATTGAAAGAGGAGAAATTTTAAACGAGGAAATTACATTTTAAATCTTAGTTAAATCTGCTTATGCCCCTTCTAAATTGAATTTTTCTTTATTGTATTATATAGATTTTTAATTTGCTTGGGTTTCTTAAGAACTAGATGTTCTGTCCTTCTGATTCTATTGACAAAGAACATTTATAAATTACTATTATATAATTTATAATGTATGGCGTTGTATGACTTTGTTCCAGTAGAAAAAGCCAAAGAAGCACTGGTATTACCCAGTCATTCTTTGGTACTAGATCTAGAATATAAGCAGATAGAATGTCTACATAAACGAAGTCTTATGAAATATTCAAATGACATTTTGTGTTTAGAAAAGCACTGTCTTTTTAAGAAAAATCAACATTTTAAAGTGGATTCTGGAATATATCCTGTTGTCACTTTGGGAATTGTCAGAAGGGGAAGTACTCTGTAGGCACACTTTAAAAAAGTTATTTTGTTTTTTTAAAAAACATATGAAGTGTTAACGGACAGAAAATAATTCTCAAAGGGCAGACAGTTTGTTTCTATAATAAGAAGTGACTAAGGAATGCTCTGGGATGTTTCCATTTTCTTTCAAGGAGGCGGTATGTATTTGAAATAATAAACTGTCAGTGATTAAGGGGTACTATTAAAATGAGCGGTGCATATGAATAGAAGTAAACATTATGATTATGTAGTGATAAAATAGAACCTTACATAATTACCAGTTAACAAATTTGGCTTGGATGAAGAAATAAAGAATATTGAAGCTCTAAGAGATGAATTTAGAGAAGGATTTTTCATCTATACAAACAGTTATTTTTATAGACTTTTGAACTAAGATGTTTCAAACCAATCTATGACTCTTACTTGATTTACTGAAAGGGGCCTCCTAACAAAGCTTTCAAAATTGTAGTGGGATTTCTTTTTATAAGGGAAGCTTATTATGGCATTATTTTTAGCCAGTGATTTGGTTAGCTAAAGGTATGAGTGTTTTCATATAATTCCTAAGATAACCTAAATCATTTTCAGTAATTCAGAATTCAAAAGCTTTATGAATTTAAGAGCCTGTTATAAAAGGACTCTGGATTTTATGATGAGAAAAAAACATGTTGGAATTCAGGCATTTTGCTAGGTACCTTAATCCTCAGTAATTAGTAGTATATGATTATTACATTTCCTACAAGGAATCTATAGTTGTATGTATTAAGTGTGTATATATGTTCGTATGAACATGCAAGATATAGGCAATAGAAATTAAGTAATCCAAAAAAGATTCCGTTATTCATTAAGCATCTTCCTTTTAAAATTTGGATTTATAAAATTATAGTGCAGTAACTTTAAATGTAGATAGTGCAAACATTCTTAGCACCTCAATCTAGTATGTTTCATTAAAATTTGTAAAAATGTAAACTAGTGTAAGAGGATAAAATAATATCTAATCAAGTTATTTTTCAAAAGATTACCTTTTTTGTCTAAACCTAAACTTTGTTCATTCTGTATATATTCTGTGTTTAATTCTAATTGCACCTTTGTGATGTGTATTTATATACAGTGTGCATAAAATGTTTGTGAAATTTGGATTACAGTTGTAGATTATGTATGATGGCATTGCTTGAGAATGTTTTGCTTGTAAAAATTTGAAGGTGCAATCAAATGCTACTAGTTTTTCTGATTTTCAGGAAGCTATCTAAAGTATTAAGACTTTTCCTTCCTGTGTAGTACTTACTAAACAACTTTTTGTATTTAGGCATTTGCATCAAATTGCTGAACAAGATTAATATCCACATTAATTCAACAATTTTAAAAGACTATTTGGGGAGGGTTGGGTATATAATTTTTTTAGCTCTATTTACATCCCAAAGTAGAAAGATTAAATTTATATTTACTAGAGCTATTCAAAGAATACACTTTTCTATATTGTAAAAACAGGACAGCAAAGTAAATCATACAGAAAATAAACATTTATACTATTCTGTAAAAAAAGGGTTTGCATTTTTTCTTTAATAACACCACTTTTAACCATTTAAGATGCAAGAAACCTTTTAAAATATCTGATATTAAGTAAATTTGACATTACTTCTGAAAGCACACAACTAAAAAATAATCATTTTGCCCAGTTATCATTAACTATAAATTGCTTTGAAATGAGAATATGTCTTGTCTTTTTTCCACTGTTTCTTTTAAGGGCAGAGACTCTTTTCTCTTAATGTTTGATGTTCTTATGATGAGCACCTTTCTTAATTTCCTTTTCTCTCAAGAACTAAAAGCAACCTGTAGGTCTTACCTCTGGACTATTATGGGAAACAGAAACTTAATGTTACAGGTAAAAAAAACAAGCAGAGCAGTGACCTTGGGGGAGAGACTACTGTTTTGGCTTCCCCATTCTTTGATATGGACAACTGACATTTTCTTAGTCTTATGTAAAATGTGAATAAAAATACCTTTAGAAAAGTTTCCTATTTTTATTGTTTTATAACACAAATAGCTAAGAAAATGAATGCTTCTTATGTAAATGCAGCTTCAAACCAGTACCTCCAGCCCTGTGATCATATTGCATCCCTTATGTGTTTTATAAAGGAATTCTGGAGCAGCAGCCCAAAGGAGAGGGAAGCCAACCAGCTAGAAAGCCTTGACTATTGTAGTTATTTTTCATGATGTAAATAACTTAGGACTTCTTTTTTCCTTGTTAGGGCTTCTTTAATGCACATTTTGTCCTTATCTATAGACTAAGTGTGAGCTTTTTATAATCCAAGTGATTTTATAAGATGTTACGATATAAAGGCTTTAATTAAAATTTTGTTTAAAAATTGTCTTATGAAAGCATTTAAGGCATTTTTAGTTTATTCAGAAGCCATAAGGGTATATGCAGGGTAATGTTTAAAGCCACAGACTTTAATGTAACTCTGTAGTTTAGTATATTAGTAAATGAAATCTGGCAATATGTAAAAAAAAAAAAAACATCATGACTAGGTTGGGTTTATCCCAGAAATAAAAAGTTGACCCAACATTCAAAGAAATCCATGTAGTTCAGTGTGTCAGCATACAAAATAAAAACTACATGACCATCTCAAAAATTGCAGAAAACCACCTTTTGAATATACCAACTACTACTAGATTATATGCTTTAAAAGGGTGAATACTGTGGTATGTAAATTATATCTCAAAAAGGTTTTTTTCCAAAAAGGTGCAGGAAATCATCTGACAAAATTCAACACCCATTTATGATTAAAAAAAAAAAAACTCGGGCTTCCCTGGTGGCGCAGTGCTTGAGAGTCTGCCTGCCGATGCAGGAGACGCGGGTTCGTGCCCCGTTTCGGGAGGATCCCACATGCCGCGGAGCAGCTGGGCCCGTGAGCCATGGCCACTGAGCCTGCGCATCCGGAGCCTGTGCTCCGCAAATGGGAGAGGCCACAACAGTGAGAGGCCCGCATAACGCAAGAAAAAAAAAAAAAACTCTTCAGCAAATTAGGAATAGAAGGGATCCTCAACCAAAAAAGCCTACAGCTAACATCATATGAATAGTGAAGACTGAATGCTTCCCCCTAAGATTGGGAACAAAACCCTCCTCTAAAACGTTGTGTCTGAGGTCACTGTACAATAAATTTTTTTTTAACAAAAACTATATAGATTGGGAATGAATAAATATGACAGTATCTATTTGTGTATGGTGTGATGTGATTGCCTATATAGGAAAGTCAAAGGATCTTAATAAAAAGGTACCAGAACTAATAAGTGAGTTTAGCAACATTAGTATGCAAAAGTGTATTTCTATGTAGTAGCAATGAACACTTAGAAACGGAAATTCTAAAATTAGCATTTATAGTAGCACCACAAAACATGAAATGTACAAAAATATGTATAAGATCTGTATGTGAAATGTAGAAAAACATTGATTTAAAAAAATCAAAGACGACCTTCAAAAATATATACATATTATCATATTCATGGATTGGAACATTAAATATTAAGATATCACTTCTCCCCAAATTAATCTATAGATTCAACGTAACTCCAGTCAAAATCCCAGCAGGAAAAAAACAAGCTGATTATAAAATTTATATCGAAAGGTACTAGAATAGCCAAATATTTTTTTAAAAAGAACAAAGTTTGGGCTTCCCTGGTGGCGCAGTGGTTGAGAGTCCGCCTGCCGATGCAGGGTGCATGGGTTCGTGCCCCGGTCCGGGAAGATCCCACATGCTGCAGAGCAGCTGGGCCCGTAAGCCATGGCCGCTGAGCCTGCACGTCCAGAGCCTGTGCTCCGCAATGGGAGAGGCCACAACAGTGAGAGGCCTGGGTACCGCAAAAAAAAAAAAAAAAGAACAAAGTTTGAGGATTCCTACCTGACTTCAAGACTTATATAAGGCTAATCAAGATAATGTGGTATTGATGAAAAGATCCATGGATCAAGGGAACAGAATAGAGAGCCCAGAAATAGATTCATATTTATGTGGTCAATTTTTGACAAGGGATCAAAGGTAATTCACTGGAAAAGGATAGCCCTTTAACAAATGGTGCTGGGATACCATCAATATGTGAAAATATGAACTTAAACCACCCACCAAAATCAACTGAAAATAGATCATAACCTAAATGAAAAACCTAAAACTGCAAAATGACTACAAGAAAACACAGGAAGAAAAATCCGTGACCTTGGTTTAGACGAAACTAAGAAGTATGATCCGTAAAAGAAAAAAAAGTCAATAAATTAGACTTATCAAAATTAATGTCTGTTCTTCAAAACTGAAAAACTAAAAGCCACAATATAACCTTTAAAAATTGTAAACCACTACGTTGTACACCTGAAACTAATACTGTACATCAACTACACCTCAGTAAAAATGAAAAGCCACAGATGGGGAGAAGGTATTTGCAGGACTCATTTGATAATGCACTTGTATCCAGAATATATAACTAACATTCAATAAGAAAACAACCAACCTTCCTTAAAATATGGGGAAGAGACTTGAACAGACATTTCACCTAAGAAGACTGTGAATGGCACATAAGCCTATGAAAAGATGTTCAGCATCGTTAGTCATTAGAAAAATGGAACTGAAAGCCACAGTGACATATCACTGCACACCCATTAGAATGGCTAATTCAAAACAAAACCCTGACAATACCAAGAGCTAGGGAGGAAGCAGAAGAACTAGAACTTTTCATACATAACTGGTTGACGTACTGCATGGTACATCACTTTGCAAAAAAACCAGTTCAGGAAGTGTGTTATAAAGTAAAACATACACTTACCATGTGACCCACTGTATGGGTACAACACATTTTTAATTTACCCATTCATCAGTTGGACATTTTTTAGCTATTATAATGCTGCTATGAAATTTGTACATTGCTCTTGGGTATATGCCCATTGGTAGAACTGCTGGGTCACATGGCAATTCTACATTTAACTAACCTTTTGAAGAACTTCCAGGCTGTTTTCCAAAGTGTGCATTCCCACCAACATTGTATGAGGGTTCCAGTTTTATCGACATTCTTGCCAACACTTGTTACCTGTCGTTTTTATTATAGCCATCCTAGTGGGTGTGACGTGACATCTCACTGTGGTTTTGTTTTGCATTTCCCAGACGGCTAATTTTGTTGAGCACATACTCATGTATTACAGGCCATTTGTGTATCTCCTTTGAAGAATAACTATTCATATTTTTTACCCATTTAAAAAATAGGGTTATTTGTCCTTTATTATTGAGTTCTTTGTATACTCTAGATACAAGTCCTTTATCAGATACATGATTTGCAAAAATTTTGTGTTGTCTTTCACTTTCTTGATGGTGTTCTTTGAGGCACAAGTTTTTAATTTTGCTGCAGTACAATTTATTTTGTTTTGCTTGTGCTTTTGGTGTCATATCTAAGAGACTATTGCCTAATCCAAGTCTCCAAGATATACTCTATTTTATTCTAAGAGTTTTACAGTTGTACCTCTTACATTTGGGTCTTTGTTCCATTTAGAGTTAACATCTTTGCATGTGCGTATCCAGCACTATTTGTTGAAAGTAAGAAGAATAAATTTCTGAACGGAATGTTTGTTTTCTCTGAAGGCAAAAAAAAAAAAAAAAGAACAAGGGTGCTGAGTAGAAATTGTAAACTAAATTACCCTAATCAAATATGAACAAATAATTTATTTAAAAAATTTCACTGTCAAGCATATCATATCAAGTAAATCTGACATTACACTTGGACCACTTCACTAGGGCAAGAGCAATTAACTGTGCTAATGGCAGTGATGGAAAGATTCTTGTCTTCAAAGTTTGTCCAATTTATCCAGCACTTAAACAGCGCAAAACACTATTTTAAGAAATTACAGAATATATAGGACGTGAGTGAAATGTAACAGCAAAGAACATAAGACGCTACAGATATGAACCTAATTTTAAGTAAAGATTAAGTACAAAACGGATTTATATAAGCAATAAGATAAAGGTGGTGATCTATAAACAGGCTTCCTTTAAATAAGATATATCCCAGTGCATCTAAACTCATTCTATTGCAAACAAAACAAAACCCACAATATTTAGACTTCTCAGCAATAGCCCCTTATAAAATGTAGTACAGTACAACTCTGGTTACATTTCAGAATTGAAGCCTTTGTTTGAGGTAGAACCAGCAGAAATATATCAAAATACACTATTTAAAGGGAATTTCAACTAATAAAACTAAACTTTCACCTACTCAATCTTTTACAACTTTTAAGTTTTCAATATTAACTGTACTTTGTGAACATTCACTCAATGACAATAAGAGTAGATATTTTACATACACAGGTGAAAAATGTGCTGCTTTCTTCTTTTTCCATTAAAATACTCCCATTTGTGAAACAAATGTTTTTCTATTTATCGTTTCAGATCTGGGTATGAGAGAATGGAGAATATTGTTCTTAGTATGTTTCCGTCTTCAGATTATTTAAGCTAAATTTCTGAAAAAACTCATTATGTAATTAAGACAGATTTTTTCACTCTCATTGACTCAACTGACCATCTTTTTCCAATTTATTAATCACATGCTATGAAATGCCATTATTCAACACTGAAAATATGTTTCATTATTTTCCTCTTCAGAAAGAGAAGTTGAAATAAGGGCTTCTTTTCATTCTCTGATGAGCACTGCGCTCCTCCAACAGGAGTCAAGTAAGTATCCACTCTTTTATTACTCGAAGGTAGTATTTTGAAGTCCAGAGACAATGGACTGTGAAGATTACATCTCCTATGTATTCCCCAGACATTTCCCAGCTTGGTTGCAGCACAAGGAATCATCTCATGGCTTGTGTTTACTTTCTGCCTGATAAAGCATAATTATTTCTATTTTAGGGTACCCCAGCAAAAGGATTTTGATGGTGGTGGTGTTTGATGTTTAATTTAGCCTAATTTTCATGTGTAAGTAAAGATTATATTCAAGGTTTGATAGGCATTCTATTAACTTTGTGTGTGTGTGTGTGTTTTAACATTCTTAAGAGCTGAAAACCAAAGCTCTTTTAGGGAATGTAGTCTTTATAAAAAGGGTCGATGTTTTGGTGACTCCTCGTCATTATTCTCCCTTGTTTTCGAAGTATGTCCAGTCAGATTACTCAGTCGTATTAACAGTAAATTCAAAGACAGCACCTGTTGGCTAGTCTGTTCCTACTGACTTACTTACTGCTTTCTACATTTTGGGTAACTCTGAAATGCTTGCAAGCTCCACCAAAGTCCAAGCAGATTTGATAATATGCATGATAGAAATTCCTAAGTCGGAACCACAAACTTGTCCACTCTGCAGAATGGTCAGTTTGTAAAATATAGTAAGTTGAATTTTAAAGTAAATGTTGACCAATTTTTTTTAATAAAAATTTTAGGTCCTTCATTTGAACAGACAGCCATCGTTCCTTAGCAAATGCCTGTATTTATTGGTATTAGCAAAACTTGAACATTTGTAATTCTGTAAAGATGACCAGTGTTTCCTTGACAAAGTTTTCGTTTCAGTTCTTTCTGAATGGTGTTTTAAAGGGTACTGAGTTACACCTTTAGCTCTGACCTTTAAGAAACAGATTATTATGTCCTTTAGTAACTTTACAAAGTGATTGATGGCACACACTTCTCCATCAAAGAGATGCTTATCTAAATCTACAAACAGATAAATATGCCCGGAAAGCTCATGTAATATTTCTTGCTGAAGATAAAATTCCCTCTGTTTAGGAAGTAGTAGTTCATAAACTGCTGTCCTTGAATGGGTTCTTACAACTCGCTCACAGGTATCTATGACTCGGCACAAACTTTCTGAAGGGAAATGCAAGCCATTTTCCTTTTTAACACATAACAGTGATCCAATTTTAGAGGATTTGAGATCTGACGCATATAGTGCACTGATGCAGTCCTCACATGTCAAAAGAGCTGATAACTTATTTGCAATATAACCAGCACAACAGGTAAGGTTTTGCCTATGATCTGACAGGTCTAGTAACGCCTCACTTAGCGAACAGTCAGACCAGTCTTGGCAAATATCCTCTTTGCGAAAAAGAGTCTTTATAACGCTGATACCATACTGACGCTGAACTGTCCAAAGGGCCAAGTCCGTCCTTCGAGCAACTGAAATGTCAAGGATGCTTACTTCACTTAGAAAAGCCTCATCTTGTAATCTGTATCTGGTCTCCAAATTATGGTAAGCTTTCTGGAATGCCATGCAGGTAGGGTTAGAACTGGTTACCAATACCTGTCTAAGCATCTTTAGAAATAATTCCAGATGATCTTGACTGAATTTGTAAGTCAGAAGATATGGAAAAGGCACGACTTTTGGGGAAACATAATTTTGGTAGAGCCATTTTAAGCTCTCAGCATTAAGCAAAAATCCCAGGAATCCCAGTTTTCGCTTACCTTTAATTATTTGATTATTGCTAATGTCAGATAATGTAACAAAAATAGTCTTGGCTTCAATTAACACATGGTTGATTTTATTAAAAGTTTCGGGTAATAGAGGTCCTTTAAGTCCCTTTCCATAATAGTTCCTACTATTAAAAATGTCAAACAGATTGTTAATTAAGCGTAAGAACTGGATGGTACCAATACAGTTTTGAAAAGGAGGCAGGCCTAATGACAGCAAACATTCTAACGCGCTGGCCACGCTCTCACTGAAGAGTTGGGCAGCACAATTCGTTTTCAGTATGTGGTTCTTCAAATTTGCAAGTTTTCTTGGGATTCTCTCCATATTTGATAATTCCTGTTCCTCTAGTGCTGCTAACCCCACAAGGTGCTGCCAGTGTGCTGTGCCATTAATGAACTGAATGCTTTGAAAATTCTGAAATGCATTTCTTATTAATCTAAGCAAGTGGCAAGAATCAAAGAAGTATGCAATCTGTTGACTAGAAGATGAAGGATGCTGAAATGTACACTTCATGTTGTCTCCATCAAGATGTATCCCCAATGCTTTTGCCATCTGAACACTGTGAGCTGTAGCATCAGACGTGACAGCTAGAACTGTGATCCCTATGTCACTCAGTTTGCCAATCGTCAGACGAAGCAGCTGAGCTTGCAAATATCCAGACGCCCTGTTTACAAAAAAATAACCAAGAGGTGTCCTCCAGTGACCAGAAATACCCACTGCCATGAGCAAAATAGTTTCTGAGGCAAGTGGCGTTTCATCAGCATCAAGTTTGCCAAGACCAAAGTCCATAAACCCTAGCAAATGGTGACTGCTGGGGTCCCACTGAAGTTGTTGCTTGAGAGATATACCTTTTATTATCAGTGAACAATATTGATATAGCTGGTCTCCATTCTCTACTTTTCGTTGAAGAAAAGAAAAAACATTGCTGCTGAAACCTGGACCGGGTTTGCATTTGGACAGCCATCTAGAAAATGTAAAAAATGAAAAACATAAAACACAAATGAAGAAATTCAAAGGAAAATGCCTTAAATGGCATTTTCTACTAAAGTAGCCTCAAATCCCTGTTGAAATAAAGCCAAGTATAGTAGCCAAATTCTATCAACATTTCAAGCATATATTCATAGTTATGATAAAATAGTAAGATAAGAGAGAAACTTAGAAACACAGAATAGCAATTGAAGATGCAAACATACCACAACCTTTTTAACTTCTTACTCACTTCTTAATAAAAATCAATTACCCAGTTTGTTCTCATTGATGTGTTTGTAATTTAGATCATAAACCAGTCTTACCTGTACATTCACTGAGATGAGAAAACTGTTGAGGGGGAAGGAAACTGAGAGCAGCTAGTACATCTACCCCATTTTATAGCTGAGGAAACTGGGAGGAAGCGGGAGAGGTTAAGTTGCCTGGCCCATGTTGTGCTGCTAGTCATGCACAAATGTGAAAACCAGCTTTCCTGAGGCCCTTGTTCAGTGCTTTTTCTCACTGCTCTTCGAATTATGCCCTTTGGGGCAATAGAGTGGCTGCATTTGTTTGCTCCTATCCAAAGTACCTACACTATTACCTTTATCTTAGGAGTTCTTTCATAGTATTTCTTTGATCTTCCCAAACTGCGGATTATTCTTTTCTATTTCTGTTAGTGTCTGTCACTAACAGACAGAATTCTTTTCACTCAGTTCTAATTTACACTTTCTAATTTGTTATAGATCAGGAAAGGAAGTAGCCAAGTTTAATAATTGTCTAAAATAAGACTAAATGGATTCTGAGGTAGACTGAAGTGTTCATCTTCACTGAAGTTTACTTTTATAACTCAAATGACTTTTTTTTTTAGGTTGAATTTCTGATTTGGGGGCTATATTCCAGGCTGCTAAGGTTTCTTCCTGGACAGCCATCTCTATTTAATTGAAATTTTAATGTACTTCCAGAAGTATTTCAGGACAGGGCTTTCCAAATATTTTGCTGCAACCAAGAAGTTTCATGAACAGAATTTACCCTTACTATATGCCAGGTACAAATATACGTGTGTATATAAATGTATATACAAAATTTAATGCCACTTATGACCCACTAAATTGATTTCAAGATGCACTAACAGATCTGAAAAACACAGTTACAGAATGCAAAAGACATACTCTGACTATTTAGGAGACAAAAGTATTAATCAGTTGTTTATATTTAAAAATGGCAAAATAATAAGACAATGAGAAAACAGAATAGTGGCTCTCCACCAGGGTGCTACAGCCCACTAGTACGTTGAAAAGCCTTCTCAAGTGTGTCACCAAATTTTAATCAGTTGTTTAAAATTTATTCTTTTGCAGTACGATTCTCAAATGAACCCTAAAGATGCTAAATGTGTTACATGTGCAGTAAGTATCTAATGAAACTACTTAATGCTTCAGGGTAAAAGTTCTAGTTTAAATAGGTTAAAAAAGCTTATGTTCTGGTGAGCTTGCTTTTTAAATGAAAATTAAATGGTATCTTAATGTCCACAACTACGAGAATGATGTTTCTCAGGCAGAAAAATATGTGGACTTATTGATTTTTCTTTTTAAGTTTTTAAAACTGAGAGTAGAAACACTCAAACGAAGTTTTTAGTGTTGTAGGGAAGTGACTGATTTCTCTCTCAAACCAACTTTTTTCCCCCACTCAAAATGAAAAAAAACTTTTTCTGATTGTATAAAATGACACATCTATGTTTTAAAAAACTGAAAGAATATAGAAAAGTGCAAAAAAGTAAAAATCACTGTTAATACATGAACTTATTTACAAAACAAAAATAGACTCACAGACATAGAAAACAAACGCATGGTTACCAAAGGGGTGGCATGGGGTGGGGACCCGGAGGGATAAATTAGGAATTTGGGATTAGCAGATACACACCACTGTATATAAAATAGAGAAACAACAAGGGCCTATTGTATAGCACAGGGAACTATATTCAATATCTTGTAATAACTGATAATGGAAAAGAATCCCAAAAAGAATATATATATGTATACCTAAATCACCTTCCTGTACACCTGAAACAATATAGCATTGTAAATCAGCTACACTCCAATAAATAAATAAATAGATGTTTTTTTAAAAATCAATATTTCAGGGACATTCTTCCAGATCTCTTTATGTATACATAACTAGATATAATTTTCAAAAATTCTACTGAACCTGTTTTTCTTTACTATAGTAATGTTATAGACATAGGTTTGCATGTTCTTAACTACTGACCTATAGCAATATTTTAAGTGTACACACAGTAAAACTAAAGCGTAAATAATTGAACCAACCTGTACTGGACACTTAGGTTGTTTCTGATTTTTAAACAATACAAAGAGCAACACAATGTGTGTTTGTGGGCACACATACACTTGTACATATCTGTGTCATTTATGCAATTCCTAGGAGTAGGATGCAGGGGTAAATTTACTTATGCATGTATTAGAATAAATGAACTCAACTTTTAAAGAAGTTTTGGGCCACAGGTGCACATAATTGAGTCAATTTAAATATAATTCACATTCCCAAATTGTCCTTCAGACAGTTTATATCAATTATAATTGACATACTCATCAATATATTTTAAATTAAACATTAGCTTAGTTATGGAATAATTATAGGGAGTCACTTGGGTAGTTTAAAGCTCTGCTTAGGAAAAATATTGTGCTAAAGAGCCATAATGCTGAGCTGGGTGTTCTTCTTTAAGACTATTAGCTCCTCCCACTGTCTTGGTTATTTCTGAAGCTCTCACATCAACTCACCTATACAGGGAGCTAATTTACTAAACTGCAATGAATACCAAAATAGAAAATTAAATTAGAAACAGAAAAAAATCTACTAAGGTCATACTAAATGTATCACTATTATAATTAGGAAAGCTGAGGGTGCTATGACATTATTTCAAAGGAGTTGTGAAAACAAACTACCTTAAAGACCCAAAGCTCTGGAATTATAAGAAGCAGAGCCGTGGGAAGGTTCTGGACATAAAGAATTCAAGGGAGAACTGAAAAAGGATCCAACTTCAGTACAGAGAAAATTAGAGAGGTGACTGATAGTAGCTAAGAAGTGAAGAAATAGTTAGAAATGAGTGAGTGAGGTACCTATCTAACTGAATCAAGGGTTTTTAAAAATGTAAGTCTGGCTTGGTCTGTCATCCATACAATTGTTTCTCCATTATCATGGAGGGAAAAAACAACTATTCATATTTTCTCCTTTCTCCCAAACTTCTAATGCTTCCTTCCCCGACTCTTAGCTATTAACTTTATGTCACTGAGAAAACAGAAGCAATTCGATAAAAACTCATTTTCTTACCACCAAATCTGTTAACCTGTTGCATCTGTAGCTCTCTCTTTTTCCTGTTTCGACGCATGATTTATCCCTGCTCCTAATTAAGGCCAGACCTCCCTCCACAGCAGTGTTGGATGTTGCCCTCCTGCAGTTATCCTTTCTGTCGTGCATCACTGATTTTCTTATCTGCACTAGACCACTCCCATGAGCAGGCAAACAAGGTGCAGCATCTGCTATCTCATCAAACATCCTCCCCTCCATTTATGTTCCTTCCACTTACGGACACATTTCTCTTCTCCTTTCATAGCAAACTCCTTGAGAGAGTCCATAATCACTGTCTCTGCTTCTTTGCCTTCCAGTATCTCTTGATTCCACTTCAGTCAGGCTTATCTCTCCATCACTGCACTGCAACTGCTTTTATCAAGGTCATCACTGATGTCTCCATCTTGCAAAATCCAACGGTCAATTGACTGTCCTCATCTTACTTGATCTCCAGCAGCATTTGACAGAGTGCAACACTATCTCCTTGAAATACTTTCTACACTTGGCTTCTAGGCCATCACAATCTCCTGGTTTTCCTCCTGTCTCACTGGCTGCTCATGACCAATAAATGTTTCTTGAATAAATGAATATTCAATATGATTAGACATCTAATACTTAAGCACAGATGTGTTGAAAATAGATATAAACGGGGGAAATGAAGGGAAATGTAATCAAATAAAAATTTTTGACCATTCAGATTTCTCAGTATAAAATCTAGGTATTTCTAATATGTTGGAATAATAGATGGCCATTAAAACAAAATTTGGGTGATGGATAGTTTTTTTTTAAAGTCTGGGAGAATACATACCAGACTGCTAACAGTGGTTATTTTGTGGGATTAGGGGAATGGAAGTATTATAAATATTTTTCACTTTCTGGTATTTATATACTTACATATTGTTTCAATCATTTATACTAAGCATGTATTACTGTCACATTAAACAAGGTAACTTAGCTTCAGACAAAGTATCCAAAGAAATAAGCAACCCTTTGAGTACTAAAATTGTAAATCGAAAAAATGACACAACAAAGGTTACAAAATGAAAAATGACATGAAGAGAAAAAAGATCAGAGTGAGCTGGAATTACCAGAGAAGACTTAATTCAGGAGTTGATGCAGAACTATAGAAATGAAGAAAACCATGGGGGGTGGCGGGGGGGAGATGAGAAGTCGTATGGAATGTCTCACATAAACCATAGCGTAAAATCAGTAACTAATGCTTTAAAACCAGTGCAAAGGACAGGACTTGACTAAAAAACGTGTGGAAGTGATAGCAACATAGTGTCTATAAAAATGTCCCCTGCTTACCAGAAAGTAGACATTTATAAATAAGTGTAATATCTGGCCTAAATGGTAAAATCACATATGGAAGAGAGTGAATCAGCCTATACACAAATGTTCATCTCAATGTACAAAATAGCAGTTACAACCAAAAAATAAAAACAATATAAATGTCCAATAGTTGGAGAATGCCAAAGTTAAGTAGGGTACGACTACCTGATATTCTGCAGCTATTCAAGATCATAACTATGCAAAAAACTAGTAAATCTAAGCACAGAAAAAAGACTGGAAGAAAATTCCCTATGTTAATAGTAATTGTTTAAATATAACCTAGAGGAACAATTAATGAATTTTCCTCCTTTTTCTCTCATTTCTAAATTTTTTAGTAGTAGTATTATGTTAATAGTATGTGTGGAGGAAAATTCTCATTCATGTTTTTTTTTAAAGGGGATGTGATATACATCATGATGACTATAGTTGATAATACTATACCTATATCTGAAAGCTGCTAAGAGAGTAGATCTTCAAAGTTCTCATCACAGACACAAAAAATCTGTAACTATATGTGTGATGGATACTAACTAGACTTATCTTGGTGGTCATTTTGCAATACATACAAATATCGAATGCAAATATCAAACACATAATTACATTGTATACCTGAAACTAACATAATGTTATGTGTCAATTACATCTCAATTCACAAGAAGTTTCCCAAGTGGGGAAAAAAAAAACCCTCATAATAATCAAGGTCCTTCCTCCCACCAAGCCTCAGTTTCCCCCTTCTTTAAAATGAGGGGGTTGGGGCTTCCCTGGTGGCACAGTAGTTGAGAGTCCGCCTGCCGATGCAGGGGACACGGGTTCGTGCCCCGGTCTGGGAAGATCCCACATGCCGCGGAGTGGCTGGGTCCGTGAGCCATGGCCGCTGAGCCTGCGCGTCCGGAGCCTGTGCTCCGCAACGGGAGAGGCCACAACAGTGAGAGGCCCGCGTACCAAAAAAAAAAAAAAAAAAAAGTCGGGGGGTGTTGGACTACATGATCTCTATGGGTTTCTCCAGCCCAGAGCCCCTGTGAGTCTGTTTTAAAGTTGAAGCAATGAGAAACCAAGAAGCACCTTCCAGGAGAGAAGGCTCCTGCCATTCCTGGGCGGCCTCTGCCCCAATAGCAGTGGATTAAATGAAGTGCTGCTCTTTAGACAGCGATTTGAGGTCCAATGCAATTCTTCTTTACATCTGTTCAAAATCCTAAACAACCATCCAGGCATCCTTTCATTCCACAAATATTTATCAAGAGATCATTGTGTTCCAGGCACCCCTCCAGGGCAGGAGGTGTAACAAAGAACCAGACACAGACCTCATACTTGGGCAGCTCACAGTCTAGCGGGGAAGACAGTGTTAAGTACTAAGATTCAGTTCCACATTATGTGCCCAAGAGGGTACCTAGTCCAGAATCGGAAGAATGGCAGGCCAGGCTTCAGAAAGGATGCGATATCTAATCTGAGCCTGAAGGGTGAGGACCAATCTCCAGGACTAACAGGGAGAATGGGCATTTCAGGCAGATGGACTAGTAAGTCTCGAAGGTAAGGAAGCAGCAACAATAGGAACATGGAGTCTAAGAGGGCAGGGAGAGAGGCAGGAGATGAGCCGCAGAGTCCAGCAGGAGCCACATCACATCACAGAAGCTCAGTGAGCCACAGGAAGAAGTCTATGGGTAATGGGAGGCTTGGGCAGCAGGAAAGTGACTGGTATGGGTTGACTTGTGTCCCTCAAAAAAGATATATCATAGTCCTAATCTCCAGTACCTCAGAGTGTGATCTTATTTGGAGATAGGGTCTTTACAGAGGTAATCAAGTTAAAATGAGGTCATCAGGGCACACCCTAATCCAACATGACTTGTGTCCTCATAAAAAGAGGAAATTTGGACACAGAAACATACATGGATAATGGAAGACGATGTGAAGAAACACAGGGAGAAGGACCACCATCTACAAGCCAAGGAGAGAGGATGGGACAGACCCTTACTTCACAGCCCTCAGAAGGAACTAACCCTGCCAGCACCTTGATTTTGGACTTCTAACTTCCAGAACAGTGAGGCAATAATACATTTCTGTCATTTAAGTCAAATAAGTAAATAAATAAAAATAAAAGAATCTGTAAATCCTGTGATGAAAAAAACAGTAAAAATTGAGTATTAAATTTATAAGGCATTACTATAAAAGTCACTGTTATTTGCTTCCCACTAAGAGAATATAAATATAGCTATGTATTTTGACCACAAATTCTAAAAAATTATTTTTCATAATCTGGTCTCTGGACAGCCTGCATTGGCACCAACTACAGTGCTTAGGAAAAATTCAGATTTTTGATCTTTGCCTCAAACCAGTGGTGTCAACCTAGATACCAATCAATTGTTCTTGATTTTCTAGATTAGTCACATATTAAAACTACTGAAGTGTCTGAGAAATTCCAATATTTCAAGATTTAGATTTTACCACCCAGAGTGTCTCTACCATCTGAAAGATGCAAAAAAATTTGTCAGCCTATATGTCTTCATTCTGTGGGTGAAATAGCGACTGTGATAATACGTAAATACCACCTAGAAGTTTTTAAAAAGAGAAAGTGGACAAAAGGAGAGTATGAATACTAATAGCATTAATGTATAAACTACAGTGAAAGAACAAAATGTTTATTTTATTTAATATCTAAAAAGTAATTCACTTACGTTCTGAGGATAGAAGAATGAGGCAGTTTAAGAATCTTTCTTACATAATCATAGACTTTGCTACTGCACAAGTAGAGTGTACACGCAAATTGCTTCATTTCTGTGGAGTACTCAGCTGTTTCTCTCCAGTTATACAACTCCCACTTAAAATCTGTTAAAATAAATTTATTCTTTGTGATGAAAAAGGTGTACAGTAACATTTTCAGGCATAGACCATAGCATTTGGATATAAAATGTGATAGGCACCAAAATTCAAATAGTTACATTTTAACTGAGTTTGTTCAGAGGTTACTATCCAATCTTAGAGACTGTTAACCAATTTATCCTGTTCATCTTGGATCATTTCACTAGAAAGAGGGACGAAAAATTTGTCAACTTCAGTCGTTATGTTTTACTATTCACTGGCAGCCTGACTGGAGATTTTCAGAGGAACAGGGAAGAAAATGAAATAAATGGATAAATTAAGTCTCTGGATTATGAGGACATTTATTAGTTTTAGTTTGTTCCCTGGTTATCATTTATCTGAGAGTGAAAATTAGACACAAGAAATATTTTGGGGGATAGGGAACTATTCAGAATGAACAATCTTCCCTACCACTGAGAGAAAAAAAAAATCCTTTGTTCCTGGTGCAGACCCCTATTTATAACCTATATTCCCCTCTTGGAAAAACACAAAATACTCTCTTCCATTGGAGATACCTACTCTTGTCTAGAAAAGGACATGCTTCTTTTACCAGAATGCAAATCCAAAATCTCTGCTGCTTTCATCAGAGAGTAAGTTGGCAATTCTTACTTTGCCCCTCTTCAAATATCCTGGTTCACAAAAACTAGGTAGTCTTTCAATGAACATATATATACTCTATAGAGTATTTTAGAAAAAAATTTGGAGACTTAACACAATTTTCAAACTCAAAGGGATTTTGCAAATTATCTAGTTCAACTCACTGCAAAAAAAGACTTTAGTGATAAATTATCTAGCAGTTAAAATTGTTTACAAATAATTTGCAGTGACAAGTGTGTGATTATAAAAAGTGCAAAGTAGGAACTTCCCTGGTAGTCCAGTGGTTAAGCATCCATCATTCAATGCAGGAGATGCCGGTTTGATCCCTGGTTGGGGAACTAAGATCCCACGTGCCACAGGGCAACTAAGCCCACGCACCACAATTAGACAGCCCACATGCCACAACTAGAGAAGCCTGAGTGCCGCAACGAGGAGCCCATGTGCCGCAACTAAGACCTGAAGCAGCCCCCCAAAATAAATAAATAATTAATAAATTTTAAAAAAAATTTAAAAAATATTTTTAAAAAGTGAAAAGTACAGGGCTTCTCTGGTGGCGCAGTGGTTGAGAATCTGCCTGCCAATGCAGGGGACACGGGTTCGAGCCCTGGTCTAGGAAGATCCCACATGCCGCGGAGCAACTAAGCCCGTGCGCCACAGCTACTGAGCCTGCACGTCTGGAGCCTGTGCTCCGCAACAAGAGAAGGCCGCGACAGTGAGAGGCCTGCGCACCGTGATGAAGAGTGGCTCCCGCTCGCCACAACTAGAGAAAGCCCTTGCACAGAAACGAAGACCCAACACAGCCAAAAATAAATAAATAAATTAATAAATTAAAAAAAAAAAAGTGAAAGGTACAATATATGGTATAAACCATATGATCTCATTTCTGGGTAGTAGGATTATGTGTTATTTTTATTATTTATACATTTCTTTGCTTCTCCTGTAATAAACATATTACTTTAACCTTTTTTTTTTTTTTTGGGTACACGGGCCTCTCACTGTTGTGGCCTCTCCTGTTGCGGAGCACAGGCTCCAGACGTGCAGGCTCAGTAGCTGTGGCGCACGGGCTTAGTTGCTCCGCGGCATGTGGGATCTTCCCGGACCAGGGCACGAACCCACGTCCCCTGCATCGGCAGGCGGACTCTCAACCACTGCGCCACCAGGGAAGCCCAAACATATTACTTTTAAAATTGTAAAATCATAAAAGGATTTTGGTGATTATTTTTCACTCTTATTGCTTATGCTAGAGACTTTTCACTTCTCAGCTAAAAGCATATTTCCATTGGCAATACAAAATAAATATGTAATGGTATTTCAGAAAAATTAAGAGCTACATTGTAAGTATTACAGGTCATTAGGGAAGATACCGGAAAATTGTGCTCGTAGCAGACACTCTGTTTCCTCTGAAAGTAGCTTCTCTTCTACAAGCGCATCAATTAATCGTAAGCCCTTTCTCTTCTTGATCATCCTGTAGTTTTTTGCAGAAGCAAGTCTTTTTCTGGACACTTGTAGCATCTGTTGCACCTCAGCCAATTTCTCTGCTCCTATTGTGAGAGGTCTCTTTAGACTGTAGTTATGGTCCTCAGTAGCAACCTCTTGAGAATTATCAGGAAGTGGCTGTTTTAGGATTTTCTGTCTTGCTTTACCTTTAAGGTGTACACCTTGGAGAACCTATGACACAAATAGAAAGTGGAGTTTATCTTAGAAATTATCACACGATGACTATAAAAATACCACTGAATACAAAGCACTCACCTGGTTGCTGTGGAGAGTTAGTTATGAAAGAAAAGGTCATAATCTCTGACTTTTTAAAATATATGATCTCTGGGATAATGTAAACAAGTTTTGGGTTTTTTTGTTTTTGTTTTTTTTGGCTTCTATACAGAAATAATAACATGATGCTGAAAGTTTCTGAAATGATTAAAGTAACTAGAGAAAGGTGGTGGTAATTTGGGAAGGCTTCACAGGAGTTTTGAGTTGTTCTTTTTTTTTTTTTAAAGAAGATGTTGGGGGTAGGAGTTTATTAATTAATTAATTTTTGCTGTGTTGGGTCTTCGTTTCTGTGCGAGGGCTTTCTCTAGTTGTGGCAAGCGGGGGCCACTCTTCATCACGGTGCGCGGGCCTGTCACTATCACGGCCTCTCTTGTTGCGGAGCACAGGCTCCAGACACGCAGACTCAGCAGTTGTGGCTCACGGGCTTAGTTGCTCTGCGGCATGTGGGATCTTCCCAGACCAGGGCTCGAACCTGTGTCCCCTGCACGAGCAGGCAGATTCTCAACCACTGCGCCACCAGGGAAGCCCCTTGAGTTATTCTTTGAAGGAGTAATAACATGGTTTAATGGAGGGGACAGGGAAGTTATTTGCACAAACATGAAGGCACAGGACAGAGCATGGGCTTTGGAATTAAGACTCCTGGCTCCCCTCACTTGTTAGCTGTGACTTAACGTCTATAATCCTTTATCTTCTCACTTATAAAATGTGGATAATAATACAGAGTTGTTTTAAGGATACAATAAGATACTTTACGTAAATCGCCTAGTGCAGTGCCTGGACCACTGTAGGTCCCAATAAATTGTAACTATTATTGATTTTAAACAAAAGCATAAAAGCAAGTCAATTTTATCATATATACAGAGGGTAAGTACATGTGGTTCAGAAACAGAATTCAGGGCAGTTAGAGATGCACAAATCAATTAATAGAAAGCTCTTTGAACTTATGAGTTTGGATTTGATACCAACAATATTCTTCTGAAAGAGGGAATAAGGTAAAACAATACCGAAAGAAGGAGACTCCAATGAATAAGAGGAAGGTGAGGGTAGAGTAAGGATAGAACAGTTGGATGACTATTTGCAGACTGCAGACAGTGATTGAGTCATATATGAGCATGTGGCTAAGGGGTAAAAGGATAAAATAAAAATGATCAAAAGAAACATAAGAATATAACACCAATACTGGTGACTGGGATAAAATAAAAGCAATCAAAAGAAACATAAGACTGTAACACCAATACTGATGACTGACTCATATAAAGTCTTCTATTTTCCGTATACCTCTTTCTATATCAATGCTAACAATTAGGTATGTTTTTGGTCAAGATCAATAACATTTTTGGGGAGAGCCAAAAAAAAGGAGGGGGTAGATAATTTCAAAGTATTGTGAAAACTGTCTTATACTTAAACAAAAGCCTGCATTCTAAAGCTGTTTATATCTACTAGTTGATTTTTGTGATCAGTTTAGTAACCTTTATGTATATCTAGACATATGGTTTACATTTATACATTTTATTTATTTATTTTTTTGGCTGCACCACATGGCATGCAGAATCTTAGTTCCCCTACCAGGGATGGAACCCGCACCCACTGCATTGGAAGCGCAGAGTCTTAACAACTGGGCCGACAGGGAAGTCCCATATACGCTTTATTTTTATTTTTTAAAAAGCTCCAAAGCACAATTACTAATATTACATATATATTTAAAAAAAAGACAAACTAATTTTCTAGGCATTTAAAGTGTATTATAGGATTTATTTTAAGTCCTAGGTTTTTGGTTTTGTGTTCATCTCTGTAAAATCTAGCTATAATGTGAGCTGTCTTGATTTTTAAAGGCTCTGAAAAATTTAATTTTGTTTACACCTAGATTTAAATACCTTGTATAGAGAAACAGAAGGCACAGCTCCTTTTTTCAGCTTTCTTCTTATGCCATATGACTCAAAGTCACTTTCTTGAAAGTGTTTGGAACATAGCATAGCACCTGGTCCTGGAATCCAAATCTTTTTGCTTCTGGGGTCCATACGATTAACAGCCCTGATCCATTTTGAGCGCTGAATGGTATCAGTTGGAAATCTACAGCAATCATATTAAAATTCCATTAACATGAAAATATAGTAATACTACAGTAGTATTTATTATATAAACCGATTTATTATTTAACTGCTTTACATAAGCATTAAGTCCAGTTAATTAAAGTTTAATTCACTTGATCTGATTTCATTTTTCAAAGTTCTTTGACTTTTTAAATCCAAAAGCTCGGGCTTCCCTGGTGGCACAGCAGTTAAGAATCTGCCTGCCAATGCGGGATACACAGTTTCAAGCCCTGGTCCAGGAAGATCCCACATGCCGTGGAGTAACTAAGCCCGCGAGCCACAACTACTGAGTCCGCGCACGCCTGGAGCCCGTGCTCCGCAACGAGAAGCCTCCGCAACGAGACGCCCCCGCAATTAGAAGCCCACGCACTGCAATGAAAAGTAGACCCGCTCGCCGCAACTAGAGAAAGCCCGCGTGCTTTTTTAAATTTACTGAAAGAAAATAAATTTAAATCCAAAAGCTCAATATCTAAGTGATCTCATCTGTTTCAATTTGTATGTGGACAATTCTCCTATTAAACACCCTGCACATTCTATCTTCACAGCCTACACTTAACAGAATCTGCTCAAATTTAATGTGTCTTTCCTTTCCTATGTCAATTTCTTTTTTAATTAATTAATATATTTTTGGCTGCATGGGGTCTTTGTTTCTGTGCGCGGGCCTTCTCCAGTTGCGGTGAGCGGGGGCTACTCTTTGTGGCAGGGTGCGGACTTCTCATTGCAGTGGCTTCTCTTGTTGTGGAGCACAGGCTCTAGGCGCGCGGGCTTCAGTAGTTGTGGCTCGCGGGCTCTAGAGCGTCGGCTCAGAAGTTGTGGCGCACGGGCTCAGTTGTTCCGTGGCATGTGGGATCTTCCCGGCCCAGGGCTCAAACCCATGTCCCCTGCACTGGCAGGTGAATTCTTAACCACTGCACCACCAGGGAAGCCCTGTGTCAATTTTAAACGATGTCCTCCTCCTTTCAAGGAGTGGAAACTAATTCCCCTCCCCATGAGTGTGGGCTGGGGTTAGTAATTTGCTTCTAAGGAATATAAAAAAGCAGATGTGATAGTGGGCATTAAACAAGATCATAAAAAGCACTGAGGATCTGTCCTTGCTCTCTCTGTTGAATGGTTTTTCTCTGGGGGAAGTTACCTGCCATGTCATAAGGAGCCCTATGGAGAGTCCACTTGGCAAGAAACTTGAGTTCTCCAGCCAAAGGCCATGTGAGGGAGCCTTTCTGAAAGTAGATCCTCCAGTCTCCATCAAGGCTTCAAATGACTGCAGTCTTGGCTAACATTTTGACTGCAATCTCATGAGATACTCGGTAACACCCACCTTATCCACTCCTCAATTCCTGACCCTCAGAAATTTGTCCCCTCTTCTCCTTCCTTTTTCTGGGCCACGCTGTGTGGCTTGTGGGATGTTAGTTCCCCAACCGGGGACTGAACCCGGCCCCTCAGCAGTGAAAGCACAGAGTCCTAACCACTGGACTACCAGGAATTCCCTGCACCCTCTTCCTTGATTTATTTTGGAGATAGATCTATAGGTAGCCTATGACTTTTATATATTTTAACTCAGGCTTTAAAACACATAGTTGTTAGAACTGAAACTAGTGAAAATTTTAATTTCCTTAGCTACTTGTTAGGGAAATGATATGACAGTTATGATAAAACTTAATTCTGAGATACTCTCTCAATCACCTTGAGAAAGAACACTGAATTGGTAAACCTCTAAGTCTCAGTTCCCTTTTACTAGCCATGTAGTATTAGATACATCTCTCAATCTGTCAGCCTCCTCCAGGGCTATAGTAAGAGTACCTGAGGATACAGATGCGTTCAAAAGCACTTTGTAAATGGTAAAGTACTATCCAAGGTTTGTTCCTTCTTAGGAACAACTAATTCCACTTTCGGGACTTTTTATTTTATTGTTCCAGGAAGACGATGCTACTTGATCAAGAGAGAATGTACAGGGAATTATTTTTCCAATAAAGATGAGGCACACCTTTCTCTTATCACTGGACTCTTTCCTTAACTGATGGCACGTGTTTGTGAGGCCACATTTCTAGACTGGGTGTAGTCTCTAACCATGCAAGGGACCATCAAAAGTTGACTAGTCCACCAAGTTACATTACCAGCCTGATTCTCTGATGCAAAGCTTCCCAACTGGCATGCCTGCTGAGTACAGTTATCAATTCCCTTAGCCCATGGGGAGGGCCTGGGCCACCTGGAGCCCTTGAAGTGTTACATCAAGCTAGTCCCAAACTGCTTTGTAGGTGTGCCCCAAAGTATTAAACAAATATTTCCAATCTTCAAAAAGACATGAAAAGGGTTGGTAAATACTGCAGTCTAACCAGCATGACTGACTAATTTGAGTTCTGGACAAAATTAAATTGGTATTAACAATTGATACCACTTTTAAAGCATTTACCTCGTGCTATATATATGTTTTAAAGACTTAGTTTTGGTCTTAAAAAACTCTGCAAGACAGGTTTTTATCCTTTTACAGAAGATGAAACCAAGACTGGAGCAGCCAAGTTTAGCCACCAGTAAATAGTCAATTAAAGCTGGAATTCATGTTTCCCTGGTCTAAAACCACCTCTGGCAGAAGAAAAATCCCAAACCCATCACCATCTCATATACACAGTAATGAAATGGCTTACACTGTAATACAGAATCCATTTTCTTCCTCCTATCGACTATGTCTTTCTTATACTATTAGCAGAGATTTACTTCTTGTATCCTGCACATCAAATATTTTCCAGAAAAGTGGCTAACAAAACCAATTCTACTGTGGTTACATCTAGGGAGGGAGAGAAATGATTGAGGGGCAAGGCTTCAACTATACCTATAACTTAAGTCTCTTCTAAACAGAACAAAAGCAAACATGTTAACATCTGCTTATTCCTAGTGATGGGTAATAGGTGTTTGTTATGTATAAATAAAAGTTTAAAAACAGAAGTCATTACAACAATTAAGGCAAAAACTCTTCCAAATGATCATGCATAAATTCCTTGGTTATGAAATAAATTGAATTTCTTAATCTTTTTACACCTACAAAAAGGGAATGAATCAAAGGGTCACTTTAAATTTTAACTTGCCAGTCCCACTTTGTATTTAGCCATTTATGTGTTTGACAGAGCACCAATATTCTCATAGTAACAGTTTCCACACCTGTGAGTCATTTTGATTCAGGCTTTTCAACCACAGCGCCTTGCTTATGTCCTTACAACCTCTTTCACGACTGTGGTGATGGTGCTGGGGATGCTGGGAAAGGCTTCAGAGGACATAGTGAGCTAGAGCTGAAGAGTCAATAGGAGTTTGCCAGGCAGAGTGGCCACTCCAAGCAGATGCAAAAGACACAGAGATATGAAATTACTTGGAGCTTTCTGGCTGATAAAGCTTGGAAAAGTAGATGAATTCGGAGCCTTGGAAGGAGAGTGCAGAGGTAGCTGGGAGTAGTTATAGATGGGAGGTAGCTAGAGGTCAGATCACAAAAGGTCTTGTATGCCTTACATAAGCTTTCGATCCATCCTTCAGGTCAATGGCCACCACAGAAGTCTACACTCATCTATTGAGAGTTGAAGAAATTATTAGAATTCATTTTTATAACTCTTTGCCCCATCTTCTAATTTTTTTGTTTCATAATATATATTAGTATAGCACTTCATATATAAATTTATAAATTATTATAAATCACTATCCATATATCAGAGGCATGTATTCAGGTTCTTTGTTTTTGTTTTATTTTATTTTTTATGGAAAGAGCTCCAGGATCACATAGCTTGAAGATGGAGGCTTCAGGCAACAGCAAGTTGACTAATTCTCTCCTTCTCAGATTACCTTTTTGCTGAGCCCTTACTTCAGATCAATATCACCTTGTCACCAGAACTAACACCATAGTATTCTAACTCCTTTTCCTGTCTCTATTCTTTCCTGCCTTCCTTACAACTTCCTAGGTGTCAGGAAGACAGACGATTCCGTGTGTTTAATTCCACACATATGGATTATAGAATAATAGAAATATATTTCAGATTGGAAGAGAGGTGTATGAGGAAAGGATTCACAGAGGAGCTTGGACTCTACCTTGTAGGCACTGAAGAGCCCAAGGGATTAAAATCCTTCCTTCAGGGAACCAGCATGATAAAATTTGCATTTTTAGGAAAATCATTTCCAGAAATCTAGAAAATGGAATGAATGGGGAAGAAATCAGGCTGGAAGAATCATAGCAGACTACTGTAATAAATGCATCACTTTTTTTTTTAACTAAGCAGGTCTTACTGTGGTTCTCAACATATAAAACAAATAAAAGCAATAAGCCAGTTCTTCCCTATTTAAGAAAACTAAGAAAAAGGCACAGGAAAAACGGCAGCAAAAAGTTGAGAAAGAAATTAGAAAAGGGAGAGAACGAGGGAGAGAGTGTCAGTACAGCTATAGGAGATGAGAGTTTCAAGGAGGGGTCGATATGACTGAAAGTTGAAAGAGGTCAAGAGAAAGATTTACAAGCCCTTATTTAGATCTGGCAAGATTACCAATGACCCTCAGTTAGTGCTGTTTCATTATAGTGGTGACAGACATCTGGCTACAGTAGGGTGAAAAGGCAACAGGACTTAGGGAAATAGGTGTATGCTTCTGTTTTGAGGAACTTGGTTATAAATGGAAGGGGAGGGTAGTGCAGAGGTGCACAAAGGTTCAAGAGTCTGAGTGTCTGTGTTTAAAAGTGGAAGTCATGTGAACATGTTCAGTGTTTTTAGGCAAGTAACCAGTAGAGCAATTTACAATAAAAAGAGGATAGGAACTAATTGATGGAAACAAATCCCAGAGAAGAAACGATACAATTATAACAGCTTAGGTGGAGGAAGCAGCCCTACTTAAACTAAGCAACACTACAAAAGGCCTACCATATATAGTTGAAACTACTTAACTTGACATGTTAAATTTTTTTAGATAATTTGTCTCCAAGTTACTTTTCCCACTCTTCTACATTACATCTTCACTTTCCATCCCTTTATATTTTTCCATGTTATTCCTATTTAAATGCTATCTTCCTTCTGCCCCACCTCCAATCTAGGTAAGGTTCAAGGTCCAACTCAAATACCACTTGTCCCACACAGCTTTTTGATTTTTTCATAAAAGTCTTTTGTCAGGGGTTTGACTCTCTACCCTTCATATTGCCTTAACAGGCTATCACTTTAAAAAAACACTGTACATTTCTTTTTGTCTGTGAGTATCTACTCTATGCACTTTTCCACTTCTCGTTGACCTCAATGACCTTTACTAGACTAGACCACAGATGTGGGTTCAAATTAGATCGGTCTGAAAATAAGCCCTACTCTTGTGCCAAATATAATTTCCTTGCATAACCAGTTACAGCCAGAGTCGGACCAGGCTTGCAGAGCTGGCTAATGATACTGAACAACTGGTAATGACAGTACTAGTGAAAATCTGAAACTGAGCAGGTCCCTTCAGGGCCCTCCTGGGTACAAAAGCCCTCTGTGTCTCCCATTTCGTGTCAAAAACAAACAAACAAACAAAACCCAAAAAACTTCAGTCTCCTAGGCCTTCCCTGAGTTCCAAAGAGCAGACCCAAGCAATGACTAATTAGGGAAGTTAGGGGAGTTAGGGAATGGGTAGGGGGTAGGGGGGAGGCAGTTAAGCCAGATAGCCTGAACAATAGTTCAGTGATAAATAGAGTCCTAGTTCCTCCTCAAGGGATATACAAAACAATCTGATGGCAGATCTTTGGGTAGTTCTGCAAAAACTAACCCCCCAACCTGGTGGAGGATGGTGACTACCTTCTGACCACAAGTACTTAGACCTCAGACTGGCTAGAACCATAAGGCCGATGATTCACATTCTCCAAACACCAGACTGTTACCTCACCCCCCCATTCAATCAGAATGTCATGCACCCTGCAGCCCTCACCCCAAATCCCTGCAGCCCTCACCCCAAATGTTGCTTTTAAAAGTCCTAAAAGTCATCACGGAGTTCGGGACTTTTCAGCACCGGCTGCCAATTCTCCTTGCTTGGCACCCTGCAATCACCACTGGACTTTCCTTCACTACAACCTGGAGTCAGTAAAGTGGCTTTCCTGCGCGGTGGGAAAAGGGACTCCATAACAAACTGATCTGTACTCAGGCTCCTCAGCAAGCCCCACACTCTAATGAAAGCGCACGCCTTCAGCAGTTCTTCTAAACTGCCTTCCCTTCCGGTCTCCCGAAAGGAAGCAAGACTCCTTTCGCGTAACCCCTGCTAAAAGCTAATGGAGAAAGCAAGCACTTTGGAAGCAAACACTGAGCAGGAAGACAAGGAAAAGCGTTAGCGCTCAAAGTTGCCCAATTCCCTCCCCCGCCCCCACGCTACGCACGTCACGCCACGCCACGCCACGCCGATGGCATGGCGCCCCACCCGCCCCGTCCCAGCCTGCCCTGCCTCCCGCCTTGCCGTGCTGGGAATTAGCGCGGAGGCTGCTCTCACGCACTGGTGGAAGGAGAGGCCGCGCTCCCGGCTAAGCACGGTATCCCGGGTGCTGCAGCCCACTGCCGAGCAACTTCGGGTCATCTTCTTGCTACGTGGGGCTCCACCGTCGGCGTTCCCGCGAAAGCATGAATCCCGATAAAGTTAGCTCCGCCTGCAGACACTGTGGCTATGACCTTTATTTGTCGAGAAAAGCGGGCACTTAAGGCGCAGGGTTCCCACCCTTTCTCTCCGGGGGCCCTGCGGCAGTCTCCTTGGCCAATCACAGACCACGTCGTGTCGCAGCAGCCAATCGGAAAGGCCAGGGGCATTAAGACGCGCATTGGGCCGCCCCTCCCCGCTTATTGGAGGGTGGTTAGTGGATTTAGCGGGCATGGGCACATTTTCGTCCGTGCTCTCTGGTTAAATCCAGTGCCATCGCGCTTCTTGTGAGTCCCAGCGAGAGAATGCGAAGGGGAGAGGCAGGACCAAAGTTGAGGCGAATCCAGTGGCATGCCGATGGGTCTCCAGGTGAGAGCTCTGAAAGTGACGGGAGGATGTGACGGGAGGGACAGGAGGGAGAGGAGTAAACGCAGCGCCTTAGAAATATTGAAGACAAAATTGGACCCCAAATAAATGATTTACTGGGAGGCATGTCATTTCCTTGCATCTTATTTTTTTATAAATTTATTTATTTATTTTTGGCTGTATTGGGTCTTAGTTGCTGCGCGCAGGCTTTCTCTAGTTGCAGAGGGTGGGGGGCTACTCTTCCTTGCAGAGCGCGGGCTCTGGGTGCGTGGGCTTCAGTAGCTGTGGCGCACGGGCTTAGCTGCTCCAGGGCATGTGGGATCTTCCCGGACCGGGGCTCAAACCCGTGTCTTCTGTATTGGCAGGTGGATTCTCAACCACTGTGCCACCAGGGAAGCCCCTTGCATTTTATTTTGTAGTTCTCTCTGATGCAGAGATAATGTAGGAGCTATTGGTATGGTTGACTGTTAGGTATGTGACATCAGACGAACTTGAATGAGAATGTAATATCAAGATAAGTCGACTTTCAATTCAACTGACTCTTTCCTGCGAGATCCTTTGCCGCAATGGGGGAATTAAGAAGGGAATAAGGTAAGAAGGTCCTCAGGGTTTGGGGGTAAGGGCACGGTCTAGTTTGGACTCATCAATAGCAGTGCTAGGAGGGGCAGGAGAGAGGGCCAATGAAATGGTTTTGGTTGGGGTGTGGGGCGTCCTGGATAGCTTTCAGGGTAAGATCTTAGAACGATGTCTATGTTAAGCTCTTTATGTTTACAGTATAAGATTTAAGTTTTCATAGAGGAAACAAAATGAGGCCAAGGTAGGACATAGTTTTTATTTTGTATCTTTGAAGAGATCCTTAGTATATATTATGTGGCATCTTTCCTGCTTAACTGTGGAGGCCTATTTTAGGAAACAGAAATGTTCCTAACTTTTTTATTTCTATCTCCAGCTGGCAAGAATGAGTCAAACATTTCCAAGCAAGATTGTTTTTTTTCCCTTTTTGTTTTCTTTATCCAGACTCTAGCCAAAAAGATTCATCTCAAGGTATTACTTATTCACAATTGCTTTCCATTATAATATGCTTATATCTTATTTGAATGAAATTAACATAGCTTTTGCTTCTGTTGTTTTGTTAAAAATCACAAGGTCTAAGAATAGTACATGGATGAGGGGAAATTGGTCCATGGGGGATGTACTTAACTTGGCTGTAAGATGTGCAAAGGGTAGGACCTGGATTTAAATCACTGTCAGTTGGTTAGACTATTAGAAGCTTTTCTAGCACTCAACCAATTAAGACCTGAATAAGGGTAAATAGAAATAAATAAGTTTTCAATTAAAAATTGGTTGCCTTATTTTTTGGGGCAAGAGTTTTATTGAGATATAATGCATATGCCATACAGTTAACCCATTTAAAGTGCACAATTCTATGGGTCTTAGTGTATCATGAGTTGTGCCACCATTACCACAATCAATTTTAGAACATTTTCATCACCCCAAAAAGAGACTCCCTTTTCATTAGCAGTCACTGCTTACATTTTCCCTCCCCCAGTCCCTGGAAACCACTAATCTTCGTCTGTGTAGATTTGCCTATTCTGGATAGTTCATATAAATGGAATCAGAAATTAGTCTTTTGTGACTGGCTTCTTTCACTTGGAATATTTTTAAGGTTTATTTATGTTGTAGTACCAGTACTTCATTTCTTTTTATTGCCAAAAAATATACCATTATATGAATATATACCACATTTTATGTGTCCATTCAGGTTGTTTTCCTTTGGGGGCTGTTAGAAATAATGCTGCCATGAACAGTAGTGTACGAGTTTGTGTCGGGGCATGTGTTTTCATTCCTCTTGAGTATATATGCCTAAGGGTGGAATTGCTGGGTCATATGCTAACTCATGTTTAACTTTTTGAGGAAATGCCAGACTTTTTCCAAAGTGGCTGTACCATTTTACATTCCCACGAGCGATGGGTGAGGGTTCCAGTTTCTCCACATTCTCATGGGTGTGAAGTGGTATCATTGTGGCGGTTGCCCTTTTTTAAGGACTCAAAGTTTGTAAGAAACTTGCTAGAGGATGCTCCTTGAGTGCACAGACAATGTCTAAGGTGAATTTGTGTTTTCAATCCCTGGCACGCAAATAGATACATGTGTTTCTGCTGCATTGTTTCCTGATAATGTGGCTCGCACATTATTCTGACAATATTCTTCTAATTATTAATTACAGATGAATTACAGAAAACTGCTATGTTGCAGAACTGATTTACTTAAATGTAGACCTGCTAAATGAAAATAACCCACTTACTTTACAGAAGCCACAAGGGGTCGCTGCTCTTGGTATTCTTAGTGTACTTTTGGATAGGGAAGTATGCAGTCCCTTATAAATGGAATCATTGATTTTGAGTTGTATTTTTACATTTGCTTATAAGTTTTACATGCTTTTGTCGCTATTTTTTATTGTTTTACTGGTGACATTGAAGTTCTCAATTTAATCATTTGATTACATCTTTGCTTCCTTTGATAACTTCATATCCAATGATTAAACCTTTTCACTGCTGTTCACATAATGAACTGTTGTGATTACTGCATATGTAAATGAGGATATGTCAGCTGTATTAAAGATGTTATTTGTCAAAATCATTGACCAGTGCAGAAAATAATTTAAAATAAAATATCTCTTTTCAGGAATTATATTCTTGGAGATGTTGGGAAAAGATTCCTGGGTCTTGGAAGATAATTACTAGAAATATGCAGGGGAGGTAGTGTATCTTTCTTTCTTTAATGTATTAAGTATTCCTGGAACGAAAGCAGTGGATTGGAAGGGGAGGATTGTCCAAGTAAAAAATGGATTTATAAAGCCTTGAGTGAAATCTAATTTTCTGTTTTATGGTATAGAATCTCATTAATTGGTTACTTGGGGGAAAAAATAGTAACAGCTAATGCTTATTGAGTGGTTACATGTAAGACATTGTACTAAGTGTATTATACACACATACACACAGTTTTTTGTTTTTGTTTTAAACACTTATTTCTCTCAACAACCCTATGAAAGTAAATAAGACTTTTTGCCTTCTAGGATTGGTATCATTCTTATTGAATACCTACCTTTTCTGTCAGATTTTTAGCTAGTTTTACATTTATTTGTCATCCTGATATAATAAAATGTATTTCTAGTGACTGACATATTCTTGCTTAATTTTTCATCCTTTTAGTTCTCTGGGGTTTTTTTCTGCTTCAGAAAGCCTTGGGGTCTTGAAATTATTGGTGATTAAATATAAAGACAGTTCTGAACCTGATCCTTTCCCAAGAATTTTAGACCTTTTCAGCTAATTTATAAGTTGTACGTTTTAGTTTTTGGATATGGATTGTGACCTTCTGTGTTAGTTGTTTATTGCTGTGTAACAAATTACTCAATATTTGGCAGTTTAAAACAACAAACACTTACGGAACATTGGGGAGAGGAGGTAGAAGAGAGACAGCAGCTTCCAAACTGTCTCAGTTGGCAAAAGCCTGTGTTCCCTGATGGCTGTTGGCTAAAGGCTTCAGTTCTTCTTCACCATGTGAACCTCTCCATGGGCTGCCTGAGTGTCTTTACCGCATGATAGCTGGCTTTCGGACACTAGTCCAAGAGAGAAAAGCCAAGATAGAAGGTTGTCTTTCAATAGTCTTGAAAGTGACAAAACACCAACAGGACCCTATCCTGTTGGTCCTGGTATGGTATAGATGGGTACTATACAAAGGTGTGACTGCCAAGAGGTGTAGGATCATTGGTGACCATCTTGGAGGTTGACTACCACACTTTAGTTAAATACTTTTTAAAAACAACTGTTTCAGTTTATTAAATCAAGAGATTTAATATTTGACCCTCAAGTCAGATGAAGTATGAGAGCATATGATCCAAATGAGTGCTCTCTTTGCTATGGTGCATGGTTTCTTTCTCGCCTATGTATATATAAACTACTTAAGTGGTGCTACATTCATTTTGGAAAGTTTCTAAGGAGTTTATAAGAAAGTTCAGGGCTTCCCTGGTGGCGCAGTGGTTGCGAGTCCGCCTGCCGATGCAGGAGACATGGGTTCGTACCCCGGTCAGGGAAGATCCCACATGCTGCGGAGCAGCTAGGCCCATGAGCCATGGCCTCTGAGCCTGCGCGTCCGGAGCCTGTGCTCCGCAACGGGAGAGGCCACAACAGTGAGAGGCCCGCGTACCGCAAAAAAAAAAAAAAAAAGAAAAGAAAGTTCAGTTTATAGCCTGAATCTTCTGCCTTGATTAAATTTTGTTTTTCTCGGACCCATTTCCCTTCTCCCAATTCCTCTTAGGTGGAGGCGAGAAGCTGGTGGCACTAGACTATAGATAGAAATTGTGTGTCCCCTTCCTCTATTATTTTGCTTGGGGTTCAGATTGACTTGGAAGAGTTGACATTTCTGTTTAGAGTTTTTCAAGGAATGTAGTCCAGTTACTTATAGGCAATTACACAAATATTTGACATAGGATGGAGTAAAGATACAAATATGCAGCAGCAGACTTAGAGCAGTTTGCCCTTTTCCCCCAAAGCTTGATTTTTTTTTTTTTTTTTTGGTACGCGGGCCTCTCACTGTTGTGGCCTCTCCCGTTGCGGAGCACAAGCTCCGGACGCACAGGCTCAGGGGCCGTGGCTCACGGGCCCAGCCGCTCAGCGGCATGAGGGATCTTCCCGGA